GGTGCACCATCACCGTGGACACCACTTGAACCTCGGCCGCGGGAAGCGCGAGAACGGCGGACTGATTCCGCGGGAGGCCTCCCCCCTCTCCCTCGCACTCGTGGGACGTCCCGCACGGGTGCGAGGAAGACAGACCGACGGCCGCGCACCGCCGGGCCACGCCGACGCTAATTGCAGAGTGCCGACCTAGTCGAGACGGTCCGAGACTGCCGTCGAAGCTGTCGACGCGTTGCCTCACTCTCACTTCCAAGTGGAAAATTGTCCTGGTCATCGTTTTTTTTTCTGCGCCGACTTCGGGAACTGAGTCGGCTGCTGCCCGCCAGCACCGCGGCAGCAACACTGATAAAAATAATCTGAAAGCTCGGATCAATTTAGTACGACTTAGTTGACTGATTTCCGCATGAGGACCAGCGGTATACACTTAAAGAATCACAGACCGAAATTGATGACTTTGAAAGTCTGGAAAGTGAATTCCGAACAGCCCAGCCATTTCTGAACTTTCGGACTGTTTCGACGGCCTGAAATTTATGAGCGACTTGCCTAATTTTGGCTGAAATTGCATTTCAACAATTTAAGCCCTAGCCCCCGACTCCCAGCTTTGTGGCCTCGCCTGAGCCACTGGCGTTGACGCACCCGGCGCGCTACGCCGCTACGCGCCACGGCCGAGGCCACGGCCCGCGAAGGACGATCGAACCATCGAACGCGTCGCGCCCCTGGCCCTAGGCCCTACGGCGCTGCGCGGCCCCGCGGCTCGCGTGGAGATAGCGCTCGCGTTTCGCTCACTCACTTTCGTCGCCCCGAAATCGATGAGGCCGAGAGCCGAAAGCGCGGGGCATAGAGCGGCAGAGCTCGGCACGCCCCGCGACACAGCACAGCAGCGCTCCGAGTGCGCCAAAGTCAGAAGAGCTTTCGATGAGGGCGAATGCGGTCCAAGCGCGTGTTACACTTAACTTGCTTCGCAATTCGATATCGACGCGCTTCGACCGTACAGTGCAGGTACAGCGTCGGCATGGCCCCGGCATGGCCGGGCAGTGCTGCTAAAAGCAGCGCGGCCTGCGATCGCCCGCGATGCGGGGCGGACGGCGCACGGCGCACGCTGCGTCGCTGCGACTTCCGCGCGCCCCGACGAGGCCGCTTCCGTGTCGACAACGGCGACACAACACACCCCGTCGATGAAAATGCCTCGCGGGCCCACAATGTGAAACCAGACGGGACGTATCCGCTCCGAGTCCAAGATGCCATCCCCGCCCGCTCAATGGCTCACGCAAACTCTGAAAACCGGGAACCGATGGACGCGCGAAGGGCAGAGATGACTCGCGTCTCGAGAAAGGAATGAAAGCAGGAGCGGGGCGGTCGCGCTGTCTCTCTCGCACCCCTGCGCGACGCCCTGGAGTGCGAGAGAGACAGCGCGAGGAGAGCTCCGTTCGGAGCGCGCGTCGCACCGCCTCGTCTCCTTCGGGTCTCCCACACCCCTTATGCGGCCCCCTGCGGCGAAGGACCCCCAGCGGGGCGCAGCCGGATCTGCCGGAAGCAGGATACGATTTGTTGCGACAGGGGCTCAAAAATGTTTGGCCACGATGTGCCCACGACAAAGCGGTCCTTGGGGTGCTCGCGATTAGGGCACGGCCAGCCTCACTCAACAAGGTTCGCAGGCGTCCCCCTCCCCCTCCCCTGCGGCCGAGAGGTGAGAAGCGTGTAGTGGGGCTCCGCGGGGGGTTCGCGGGGGGTCGCCCCGGTCAGGTGGAGGCGTACAGTGCGTACAGTGGCCCCCCGAGAAGCAGCGCGGATACCGGGGAAATGTCCAGGGGGGCTCCCCCATGGGAACAACCACGTATCATCCACGTAGAATCCACGTGAGATAGGTGGAATAGGTGGATAGCATTTTTCTACCTTAAATCCACGTGACTTTCACGTTGATTTAACATCGATTTGGGCGTCTATAGTGGTCCATTGTAAATCAACGTTGACTCTACGTGGATAGTCCAACGGATTTGAGGGACGTTGTGTCTACGTCGAAAATGCGGTGACCTTGTGACGAGTATCCAGAGCGGTCCTATCGATATCAATGGTATGAGGATTGAGCGCCTTAACTTTTCTACACGATCTCAATGTCGATCACACGTATCCAAATTCATTGTAGCATGGTCGTCTGTCTGAGCCGGATTCATCGCAGAGGATTCGGACTTCCACGTGGGTTCAACGAAGATTATGCGAGGACTTTGGAACAAGATTAGTTTTGAAAGCTACCGACAGAGGGCCTGCTGATATTCCTGTCTTTCCTTTCCCTCTCGACCTGCAAGTAGGATGCCAATTCACCATATCCCAGAGCCATAATACAATGCTCATCGGACAACTTAGGTGGACTTGACGTGGTCCTCATAGGACATGTCTCGATCGTAGTGATTTTTTGGACGTCCTCACGGTGATCAACCTCTAGAGGACTTTCTAACATGAATGCAGGGAAGGTTAAGACATAGATTTCACATCGATTATCGACTCAATCGAATTATGCTTCACCAAGCTCAGAATGACCGGTACGCGCCTCGATGTAACATCGATGGTGGGTGGATAGGGCGAGTTGCTGAATCCACGTTGCATCCACGTAGTTTGACTTGGACGTTTCTACTCGATTGTCGAATCGACCATCCACGTCGATTCCACGTGAAAATTAACGTTGCGTCCACGTCTCATCCACGTGGATGTTCCCATGGGGGATCGGGCCTCGCTCTCGGCGGGGCGGGGCGGGGCTGCAGCGTCTTCCTTTTAGACTTCGCGATTATTGTGACAGTCGTCGGGGACGCCGTGAATGCGAATGTCGCACCGTCGTCCCCCCCCCCCTCTCATCTTTTTCGCCCAGCGGGCCGGACACGTTCGGTCCGAGGGGGTAACGACTGGTAAATTTCGTGTCAGCCGGATTAAGGATTACCTCGGATTACCCCGGATTACCCCCAAATTACCTCCGGATTACAACCAAAAACTTCCTGGATTACCTTTGGATTTAGCTGGATTACCCCGGATTACCTCAAAATTTTTCCGGATTACCTCAAAATTTCGGGTTATCCGGATTACGGATTACCAATTTGCTGTCAGCCGGATTCCCGAAGTCGTTACCCCCTCGGTTCGGTCCCACCCTCCGGCCGGCCGGCGCGGTGCGTGCGAGACCGGGCTGGTCAAAATCAAGCCGAATTCGTGTCGCGAAAATGACAGTGACTTGCCGCCATCCAGAGCCGGCTGCGGGCTGATTCCACAGAACGCGGGTTCGTCGCTCTGACTCCGGGACCCCCCATGAGTGCGAGAGAGACAGAGTGGCGAAAGCCTGCTGGACGCGTCTCCGCTCGCTCGGCCACTACGCCCGCGTCCTCGCCTGCGTCGCGGCCTTTCCTTTGGGCAATGCCTCGCCGTGGCCGCGTCGCCGCGTCGCCGCGTCGCCGTGTCCTTGCCCGCCGCTGGATCCTCGATCCATGGGGCCGTGCGCTGCTGCCGTGCCCGTGACCTTGGCGATTCATATCCTTCCGCCCCCAAGGTCGCGGCGCGATGGCCGTGCATGCCGCGAATGCCGCGGGGCCGGCCGCGCCGTGGCGAGCCGCGCCGGTTTCGCCCATTCGCCGCCGCCGCGGGGATTTGCCGCAGGAGCCCCGGGAGTGATGCGCATCCGCCCCACAAATAAATTGGCGACTCGGAAGGACGGCGAAAGCGCGAGCCGAGCGGCCGAGCGGACGGACCCTCGGTGCGTCCATGGCCAGGCCATCCCCATGCATCCATGCGTCAGCGAGACGAGCATTACTGGAGATGAGCTCTAAAGCCACTACGCTGGAAGTGCTGGAAGCTGGAGGAAAGGACGAGGCGCTGCCCATAAATCGCGCCCCGATCTGGACAACGCACCCGAACGCACCACTGCGTGTGTGTGTGTGTGTGTGCGAGCGAGAGCGAACAGTGCATGAGTGTGTGTGCGTGTTTGGAGAAAGAGGGACAGAGAGAGAGAGATGAGCTGCTCTCATCGTGGTCATTGTGCGCCGCATCCTCCGGCACCCCGCACAGCGCCGCGCAGGGGACCCCGTTCTCACACCTCCCCGTCGCAGGAGGTGGTCAGCCTCCCCCTCCCTCCGCGGCCCTGCACTGTCCGCCACTGCCGGGCACCCCCTGCCGACGCGGCCTGGACGCGACCCCCGCGGAGTCAGATTAACAGGCTGCGCCAACATCGAGGGCCTTCCGACGCCGTCCTAATGCCGCTCATGACCTTTATGACTCTGCGACGCTCTGCGAGCAAACAGCAGCAGTCTGGTTCAGAGCAGCGCTGTCGTCGCCGTCTCTCTCACACCGGCACGCGAAGGGCAAAGGGCACTAGAGTGCGAGAGAGACAGAGCGGCGATACAGCGCCGTTTGGAATCGCTTGCAGAGGGCCGGGTCCGGACCGACACCAAGCACCCCCAGTCAGTCCACCCACACTTCAACTGTGACACTGTGGCAGTCACGAGACGGTACGGGTTGTTCGCTTTACGTACCAGTCTTTGTTCCACGTTCCCTGCCGTTGCCTGTTCGGTTCGGTTCGGTTCGGTTCGGTTCGGTTCGGGGGGCCTAGCACAGTGGGCCAGAAGCCGGTGGAGGCGGACAAAACTCTGGACGCGTTTTGAGCTCCAGAGTCGCAAAGCAGGACTCGAACCGGACGTGTGACCCCACTAATGGATTGCTCTCCGAACGAGGAATCCATTGGTGGGGTCACACGTTCGTTTCGAGGCCTGTTTAGCGACTCTGGAGCTCAAAACGCGTCTAGAGTTTTGGCCGCCTCCACCGGCTTCTGGCCCACTGTGCCTAGGAGGTGTCCGTCGAGCGCCGAGCGCCGAGCGAAGCATTCGAAAGACGCCCGCCGAAATGGCGGCGCCTCGTGCCTGGCCGCGGTCGCTGTCCGTTTCCGTTTCCGCCCCCCACTCCCTGCCAAACCCCTTCCCTAGCCTTCCCTCCCCCGCAGCTCCCGTTACCCCTCCCCTCCCCTCTCCTGCGACCCGTCGGAGACATGCCTTTGGTTTCCTTCTGCTCGTGAAATAGATCCCAATTTCCTAAAAGTGTGGGCCGCTTTCAATTTTGTTGCTGCTCGCACGAGGTCATTAGTTGGTGTTGTGAACGTCAAAGTGTTTCCCAAGTTGCGAGATCTTGACCTCGTTTTGCACTAGAAGCATTCTAGGGGGCCGTGCTGGTCGAGAGAGCGAGACAGCGCAACTCGGAACTCGGCTGAAATTCTTCATGCCGAGAGGAGCATGCTTCAGAAAATTTCTTTGATTTGGTGCGAAAACTTCGGGAAGTAGCAGAAGGCTTTGTTGTCAGTGAGAAGCAGACGAGTCGGAGGAGGTTATTCCATCTTAGATCTGGAGTGTCAACAAGAAATAACTTATTATTATGGACTTTGATGACTATGAACAGCTCCCCACCGCCAATGTATCAACCCATATGATGGCTGGGGCCATCGCAGGGGTGATGGAGCACTGTGTAATGTACCCCCTGGACTCTGTCAAGGTATGTTAAAGCATGCTTTTTTATGTCTATTCATTCATTAAAGGGCACCTTTACCGTACCCGATTCGTCTAGGCCTTAGCCTAGGCAGTCGGCCCCGTGGCTCGGTACCTCACTTTTAGGCAGCCCCCACACACATTTCCCGAATTTTTATGCAGTGCGCAATTGAATTTTGCTGCATTTCGCACTGTATGCGACGATTTTGACACCTTGAAGTCGTATTACATTGCCCGTAAGCGCCTCAAAAGTCGGTGCAAAGATATGTGTCGCGGTGGGTTATGGCCACAGACTTTTAGATTGCACAATAGACAGATGGTCATAGGGTAGTTCTATTGAAATTTCATACAAATATCAAAAATTTCTAAATTAATTTTCCTAACTGTTTTTGTTTTTAGCTCGAGGGAATGCATTTTCTGTGCAGTTAAAATATGTCTGGAGCCTTACCTTGCTGGAATGAAACTTTCATTTTATTCATTTCCCAATGATGCTCAGTAATAATGAGTGTTTATTAATCTATTCATCCTTGAAATTGTTCTCCTTCGCTCTTCTGAATATTTATTACATTTTCCAGTATATATTTAAATCTACCCCCTGCATGTGAAAGTTAGGTTAGGTTTCTGTGTGTCATACAGTTGAATGTCAAGAGCTTTAACATTGTCTTATGTGACAGACGTGACAATCATTTTATTGTGTCGCTTTCTCTTGGCGTCTTTGATTTGTACAGCTTTGATGAAGCAAAATCCGTTTTTATTAGCGGTCATGAGAAGAACTTGTTACAGTCATTACATAATTTTTATTACTTGCCATTGCCCTAAAACATTTGATGTGGGTCTAAATGTCTCTTCAGTTGCAGTTATAAAACAAATTAGCAATTTGAATCAAAAGTGGAGAATGATACATTAAATGAAATGTTGTTATTTATAACTTACATTTTTCTTTTCTTTCTCACTCTACAGTATTTATCATCATCATCCAACAATTTTGTTTGTTTGTTTCAGACCCGCATGCAGAGTCTAACACCAAATGCGGGCCACATCCAAAGTATTAGAAGTGTTTTATCACGGATGTTATGGGTAGAAGGAGCAAACCGCATGGTTCGAGGAATGGGCCCAGTAGTATGTGGAGCAGGACCAGCTCATGCTCTGTACTTTTCTTGTTATGAAGCAGCCAAAAGCACCCTTACTCAAAAGAACACCATGTTGAACAACCACATAGCCTATTGTAAGAGATAAAACTTTCACATTTAATTTTTGTGATTTATGTTTTTGTAAGCTGAAACATTAGTGTTTTATTTGATCTGTTTGTTTCAGTTGCTGCAGGAAGTGTTGCTACAATCATTCATGATTCAGTTATGACACCAGTTGATGGTATGCACTAATACTTCTCTTTGAGTTATTTGCAGACTATAAAGTTTTGTTCTCATCTTTATCTATTTTCTATTTTCAGTTGTAAAGCAAAGGCTCCAAATGTACAACAGTCCATACCGCAATATGCTACATGCTGCCAAAAACATCTGGAGACAAGAAGGAATATGGGCTTTCTATAGATCATACACTACCCAGCTCAGCATGAATGTTCCATTTCAGAGCATTCATTTTGTCATGTATGAGTTCTGTCAAAGTATTACCAATGAGGATCGCTCCTACAATCCTAAAGCTCATGTTATTTCTGGAGGCATTGCTGGTGGTGTAGCAGCAGCAATAACCACACCCCTTGATGTATGTAAGACCCTTTTAAATACTCAGCAAGCTGCTAGGACAGATGGCTTCATAGAAGCTGTCCAAACAGTTTATCGATTAGGTGGTGTACAGGGATTTTTCCGAGGAATGCTTGCAAGAGTTCTCTTTGTTTGCCCGTCCACTGCTATTTGCTGGTCTACCTATGAACTTTTCAAGTATTTGTTGCAACACACAAATGAAGCATTAGTTGAGGAGGAAATTCTTGTCAGTAATCCAAGTGCAGTTGTGAAGTCAGCTGTTCATAGTGCAGCTCTATATTCACCTTTTCAGACTGTGTCAGCTATGCATAGGCCTAAAGACAATCCCACCCCAGCACCACCTTGATTGGCCTTCAATTTTGCTGACCTCTAGAAGGAAGCAATGGCTTCAGTCGTATTGTTGTTTTGATGACTTTAGGCTTATAAATATGACATGATGAAATTACATCTACATTCACACACTTTTCTCTCTCCTTCATTTCTGTTGTTCATTTTATCTGGTCTTTTAAGTTTGTTCCGTTTGCTTCACTTGTTGCATACTCTCAGCATTAGATCTACCTTTTGAATCTGTTTGAATTTGTTTTCAGTACAAACTGTTGGGAAAACAAAATTGACTGTAACACTATCTGCAGTCTGTGACTTGTGTGTCATTTTACCATCTGTTTCTTCATTTAGTGCTTTGTTACTTTGTTCCCTTATTTTTGTTTTGTTTTGCCTCCTCTAAAAGCATGCTTTGTGTTAAAAATTATTGTTTAAGAAGTTTTCAATGTTAAATCAGATTTGTTGGTTGTACACAGCCTTGGACATAAGGGTGACCTTGTATTTGGTTCTTCTCCCACAAAAAAATAATTACGTGCGTCATTTATTACAGAACGGGTGCTTTTGTTTTACATCTTGTTAATAAGCAGTGTCCATTAGAAAGTGCATGATGTCACACTGTGCATTTGATCTCAGTATTAACATATGTTATATTGATATTGAGTTGAAGTACATGTTCCTTGAAATTCAGCCTTTTTATTCATGTTTTTTTTTTTATTGTGAAGTGCTGATCTGCATTACTTTATGTTTTGAAGTTTAAAGAACATAGTAATGATTTTTAAAACACGGCTGGACACATATCATGAAACTACCTTATTCTGCAGTAGGTATACCATACATTTCAGCCCAAATTTTTAGTGTGTTCTTTCTTTTATGTACAAGGCTGTGTACTGAACTATTATAATAGTGAAGTAAGAACTATGTAACAGTCAGTCTTCGTTGCTTTCTGTATTTTTCTCGTTATGTGAGCCTATTTTAAGCCGTGTAATATCACGGGAAGGACCAAACATCCTCTTTTCGGCCATCGGGTTTGCGGTGCTTCAATTGTTCACGGCTGGACCGTAATAATTGACTCCACATTGTAAGTAAAATTTCTTTTGTTGGGGGTGAATGTTGTAATCATCCCTTATGTGTAAATGAAGACTATGTACAGATGTTGCATTGTAAATAGTGGTTGAGATTGGTTGTTTCCCAACACCTCATGGGTTTGGGATCATCTGAATGCTGTGATGGGGAGAAAAGAAAGATTATATATTTTTAGGAGTCCTTGTTTTTCTTTTTGTTTTAGTGGCTTATTAAGCAAAATTATCCTTTTCTAAAAGCTAGATTTGCAAGTTAATGTCAGTCAGAACTTCAGGACTAAAGAAAAGTAAAGCCTCACAAAATCTCTAAATTGTATGATTGCCCCATGTTATTATTATCTTATAATTTTTATTTTAAAATTTTCTTTGGCTTAGTATGCTAACATTCCAGTACAAAAATGATTGACAATAGAGTATCTGGCTCAGCATTAAGGAATGTTCATTCTCTTCCCTAATTTCCTTCATTTTATTACACCTCCAATATAGACCTCCTCGAATTAAAATTGCTAGTCTGTTATGTTCAATTTTTAATATGGTGTGTTAGTATTTTGGATCTGATGTGTGAAGTGACAGCTCAAATTATTCCCTGTAACTTTGTCATTTAAGTAATACTATATGTGTGTTGTGGAGTCTCATTTTGTTTCTGTCACTTTTTAATTGATTGCAATGGGTACCGTTTTGATGTGGACATTACAGTACCCTAAGGTTTTCACGCTCTTTAGGTGTAGTTTTCTGGACTGGCCTTCTTCTCTCAACTGAAGATATGTTGTTAATACCATTTATTTTGGTAGTCTGAGCTTGTTAAATTGAAATGACAAATAAATTGCTCGTTCATTTTAGGTAAGATTGGCATTTCTTTCTGGTTTTTTGCTTTTTACCAGTACACAAATCATTGCTTGTTTCTGGCTTGTCCATTTCTTTTGATGTCAATTTAAAATTCTATTTGCCATGACTTCAGCTTCATCTTTCTTAAACTTAGTAATTATGATAAATTAAGTGTGCATGTGTCAATTCATTGTGTGACTGTGTGATTAAACGATTTTGCATGACAAGTCGTCTACTTGTTACTTCTGTGGCCATTTTCCTGTCTCATTCAAATATTATTGAGTGCAGGTGTAAAATGTCTGACCTAGTTTTTGTTATTGTTTTTGTTAGGTTCAGAGGGAAGAGAATTTAGGACACATTTCTCTTATTTTTTCCCCTTTTTGTTTCTCTGAAATGAATGTACTGAAATAAGCTACTGGTGTTATGATGGTGAAATCAACTTGTACTGTTACGTTATATAAACCTAATGTTATTGTAGAATACGTGTACAAAAATACAAATGTTCAAAGTCAATTGTTTTCTAATGTACGAGAAACAGCATGCTCTAACAGTATCTCATTTTAGTAAAACCTTAGTCAGTGATACAAACTACTATATTTCATTTTACAATGTTAATTACAGCGTGTGTAGATTTTTCAGAGGGTGCCTTTCTTATGAAAAGGAGGAATAAAAGACTCAGAAAGGTAGATATCTTTGTAATCTGCAGCATTGTAATAGTTATGAACGTGGAGAGAGTAAGGATTTAAAACAGCCATTGTACTGTTTCACGCTTTCTTTAATCAGGGCCGCTTTTGGTGTGTGGATGTCATCACTTGGTTTTTACATGATATTGTTTCCTCTGCCTTTATATTAGATTTAGTCTGTAGTTGTAAGGTGCGTGTTGTTTTGGTGCTAACGAGAATCTGTCAAACAGTGGCTCTGCTCGATGTGGATTTCTGTTCTGGTTTGTATTTTAGGACAACAGACTCTTATGTTTATGCTGAGTTGTGTGATGGATAATCTTTTTCCATTTATAAATATTGCTCAAACTTGAAGTTTCTGTTCATAAAAAGATGCGTCTCAAAATCAGTAAATTGTTCTAGGTATTGTTTGTTTTGTTTTGCCTGTTGCTTAAGAACTTCGTTTCCAGTTATTTTTAGCATGGAGTGTTGGTCGATTCAAGCTTCGGGAAGATAACACAAACTCTGAATGCTTGAGGAAGGATTAGTCAAGTACGTGTTGTGCATTGTAGAATTACGATTATGAGTTTTTGTTTCTCGGGCAGAGTTGTAGTGGATTCTGATTTTATAAAACTCCAATCCAACTTACGCAATGATTAATCTGTGATTAGGGTCTTTATCATGGCTTGCTTTATGGTATTGACTTTGAGAGGAAAGTAATATCATGTTTGCACCAGCCACAACTCCAGCCCAAGCACGGTCTAGCCCATTCATTCATTCATTAGGCGCCTCTGTTATGTATTTTGTTGAAAATAAAAACAGTATTGCTCTGTGTTCTACGTGCATTGACTGCGTGAACAAATGAGTGAGTGACTAGTTAAACTTTTAAATAAAATTCCTTATGATCTACAAGTAATTATGTGTTGATTTTTTTTCTACATTCCTGTGCAACTTCAATAATATCTCGAGGGGACGACATCTTCGACGATTGAATTGGCACGATTCTACTGCTGGATACGATTCTTGTTTCCCGTCGAACACGGGCCCGCTACGTTTTATCTGTCCAGTCCGTCTTCACTCGGTTCAGCCGTCGCGGCCCACAGTGCCCCCGCAGCTGCCGGCAGCGGCAGCCCCGCGTCGAGGCGAGGCGGCAGGGCGGCAGTGTCGTGGTATCAGCAGTCTTTGGCGTTGGCTTGGTTTCGGTTCATCCCGCGGGTCGGGTCAGCCCGACGGGCGGCAAGGCCAAGTCAAGTCAGTTCGAGTCGGAGTCGACGCGGCCGCCAGTGATCGCCGTCCCGTCCTCGCGGCTGCTGCGGGTTGGTGTTGGTGGCGCGACGACTGACGAGACGACGCGGGCGCGACGTTCCAGTGACGTTCCAGTGACGGTCCAGTGACGCGACGAGTGCTTCGGTTCGGGACGGTGGGTACGAGGGAAGTCCCCCCGCCTACCACGCGGCTGGGCAGCGGGGCGGGGCCTTGCGGTGCAGTGCGGTGCAGTGCGGACAGTGCCTGTTTGAAGACTGACATGTTTGCTGGAGATTGCAGTGGGGCGGACGTCGCGCCGAATACGCAGTGAAGGTCCGCTCCCACCGGCGGCCTACGCCGCCCCCGCCGCCGCCCCTACCCCCGCCCCGCCCCCGATCGCGCTGGTGTCAACACAAGTGGCACGCCGCCCGCGCCGCGCGACGCCCACACTGCAGTACGCCCGCGCGTTAATTGCCAGGTGCTTGGTCTGCTTGGTGCCGACAGGGATCTGCTGCAGCGCGGTGTTGTCGCCAGCGCCGTCCCCACCGCGGCCTCACTGCCCCTGGCAGGCTGGGGCACACCGCCCCCCGCCAATGGGTCGCGCACAATGCACTCGCGGCCCTTTAGGCGCGCGGCGCTGCCGGAGAGGCCACCGCGACACTGATATCCCCAGTGCCGCGGCCTCGGGTTCAAGCGCCCCCCTGGTATGGACGGCACGCGACGACGCCACCCGGATGAGTCACTCCACCACCACCAGCTCGACGCGCGGCGGCCGGCGGTAGCGCCATGAGGACGACCACGGTGCCCACTGCCGTCGCCATGGACTCGGACAGCCCCGCCCTGCTCCCGGCCGTCGGCCTGACCGTCGCGATGGCCTCGCCGCTCCGCGAGAAGACCAAAGTCCCCGAGGAGGCCGACGATGGCACGCCGTCGGGGTTCGTGCTCCTCGCCCTGGACGCCGACACTAAGTGCGCCGCCGAGGAGGGCCTGGAGGTGAGCTTGTCGGGCTGGTGCGCGTTCTCGGAGGTCCTCGCCACTCTGCTCGGTGAGCACAACGTTTGTTTCTTGAGCAGGTGCGCGTTGAGGTGTGCGTCGACGGGGCGCGCACGGCGTCCGCGGCCTCCGCAACGACCTGCGCGTCGTCCGCCGCGGCCGTCGCCAAGCCCCACCAGCTGCTCTACGGGCTGCACGACCAGCCGCCCGCCGTCATGCTGCTGCTGCTCGCCGTGCAGGTGCGCTTCTCGTGTGAGCGCTGCGCGCCGCGGCCGGCGGATCCGCGCTTTCGCGGTCGCCATGACCGCCCTCTTACTCTACCCGTCCCCGCGCTCCCCGCTGTCGCTCAAGTTCATCTGCACCGCCATCAACCGCGCAAGTGCAAAAGCGTGTACGGCTCGGGGACACGTGGTGATGGGTTTACTCAAGATTGTGTCGCAGGGGTGTGGGGCGGGCGGGGCGGGCGGGGCGGGCGGGGCGGGCGGGGCGGGCACAGTGGCGGGTATGACTGGAAGCGGGGTGTCCACCTTTTTGGCCTCAGGCATCCGGTCGGTGGCACTGTTGGGTGATTAACCTGGCCCGTCGCAATCCCCATCCGCCCCAACGCTGGAGGGAGAACGCATACTCTCCTCCCATTTGGGCGGATAGTGCTCCCCAGTCCCCAACGCGCTGTCTTCTTTTTGAAGCGGAAGCAGCATATTTGAGTCGCATGTGGCGACTCTGTGGGTGTCTCATCGCTGTCGAGAAGGAGACGGGGGCGAAAGGGGCGGGAGAATCTTGCTCCGTTTGGTAGCTGGCTGATAAGCGGCGTGATTATCGGCTGGCTTTATGTCGGCCTCGTATCGGGGCGGGGCGGGGCGGGGCGGGGCGGGGCGGGGCGGGTGCCATTTTATGAAGCTCGCCCATTATCGGAGTTCACTGTTCACGCCCTGCCGCCCCGCCGCCCCGCCGGCCGGCGTTTCCGAGTAACGCGTCGTGACGCGCCGCCGTGACGCCTCGCGGCCGTGCCGCGGTATCGCCTTACATCGGCATCGCGAGCGCCGCGCTGGAACCCAATCGCGCATTTAGGTTCCCTGATATGGGCTGCCACATGTGATAGCCCTCGCGCCTCGGTCCGAGTACCGCCAAGGCGTCATTTTTCCTCTCTTCGCGCCTCATTAACGTTGTTTAACGTTTTTAAAAATGTTTTTGGTTTTGTAGAAGATGATACCCTCACAAACATACGCAGAAAAGTACAAGACACATTAAGGTGTCAGCTTGATTTTAACCTCGAGTCCCGAAATGAGCCCTTTAATTTTTTGGCGCAGCTCTGCTTCCTGGCCCTGCTGCACTGCGTGCTGCTGCTCAACATCCTGTCCCCCGCGCTGTGCCTGCACTCCGAGGACCCCGCCCGCGCCGAGCTGCTGTGCCGGCTGCTGCTCGTCTCGGCCGTGGCCACCATCCTCAACAACACGTCCTTCGGCGTCGGGTGCGCGTCCCGCCGTCCCGACTCATTCCGCCGCTCTGTCTCTCTCGCACTCACACGGGACGCCGCATGAGTGCGACAGAGACAACGTGAGGTCTAAATCAGAGAATGCGTGCATCTTGCGCAGGCTGGGGGTGGTGCAGTCGCCCTGCGTGGCGTCCGTGGGCGCGGCGCTGCTGGTGGCGGCGCTGGGCCACGACCAGGGTGACCGGGACGAGGACGCCGACGACGCCACGCTGTGTCCGTCGCTGGCCGACCAGTTCGCCATGGGCCACGAGAACATGAAGCCTTTGTGGCAGCCGCGCGCGCGCCGCGTCCAGGCCACCCTGCTTATCGCGTCCGCCTTCTCGGCGGTGCTCTCCGTGGCAGGTGCGTACTGCGTACTGTACTGCAGGCTGCCAGCCTGCAGCGCGAGTTCAATTACCCGACACACTAAAAAGATTTCCGATTCCCTCCCGACGCAGGCCTGCCGCGGCTCGTCGCGCGCTTCCACACCCCGCTCACCGGCGCCGTGGCCACCTTCCTCAGCGCCCTGCCCCTCGTGGGCTACTGCGTCAACGCCGCGGCCGGCAACTGGACCGGGGCGCTCTCGTAAGTGCGGTCGACGCTGCCCTTCAGCGTACAGGACCTGAGCCCCGTCCCGTTCGAGACCCAATGGCCTGAGGCCCAACGGAATCCCGACTTGAGTTCATCTGAGTCCTGTGAGGTCAATCCGGGTCAGGTCTAGGGGTTGGGCCTCAGGTCGGGCCCACAGCCATCGGGGTTGCACCGCGACGGGGCTCTTTCCTGCATGCCCCCTTGTGGCAGCCTGGTAGCATGCTGGTTGTCCGTTTCCGTTCCGCTACACTGTTGGCATCGCTCACAGGGGCGCGCTGGGCGTGCTGCTGTGCGGGCTGGCGCTGCGCTGGCTCGCCGTGCCCGTGGCCGTGTGCAGCGTCCGACGGGGCGGCCTGCGCGCGCGCATGCTGCCCGCCGTGTCCATGCTGGCCGTGTTGGTGCCGCTGCTGGTGGGCTGGGCCACCTGCGCCGTGCTCACGGCCACCGGCCTGCTCGCCCCCGACAACCGCCTCGTCACGTCGGACTGGCGCGAGGACCGCGTCCACGCCCGGGAGGTGTTCGCCATCCCCTGGCCCGGTGAGTCCTCCCTCTCTGTCGCCCTCATGAGCGACCCTCATAGCTCCGAGAGAGGCAGAACGACGAAAACGCAAGCTGCAACGACCCCCTTTCCTCTTGCGCAGCGCCCTGGGGCTGGCCCAGCCTGAGCGGGGTGCCCTGGGTGGTGGTGGCCTCCTCCGTGGCCGCGGCCCTCGTCGCCAACACCACCTCCAGCCTGACCACGTTCTACGCGGCGGGCGCCTCGGGCGGTGAGTCACAGCACAGCGACACAGCCTGTGTTGCCAGGAAAGTGCGCAAAAAGGAAGGAGTCCAAACCGTGGTCCAAACACACAGGTGTTTACTAACAGCTGTGACGAGGCGAGAAGCTTCTGCCGACTTTCCTGGCAACACTGCCTGCGGTCAGCTGGTCAACTCAGTTGCCCTCCGCTGACCCGAGCGCCTAGGCAGTTCTGTTACGCGCGCGAGCACGTTGGGTTGCCTACCCTCCGGGCGGCAGGGTGCCCGTAGCCCGCGTCGCACAGCAGCCCGTTGGGCTGCCTACGCGCGAACAAACAAAACCACCTTGTTTATTTTTCTGTCCGTCCAGGCGAAGTGCCGGGCGGCCGCGCGCTGGAGCGAGGCACCCTGGTGACCAGCCTGGTGGCCTTCATGGGGGCGCTGTGGGCGGCGCCCGCGCTCGTGGGCGGCGGCCAGGAGACGCCCGGCGTGGTCCCGCTCACCCAGGTGAGCACGATGGCGCGCAGCGCGCAGGACGAACGCGACTCGCGGGATGATGTGCAGGGCTGTGACGCAGGGCCGTGTGTTGCAGGCGGGCCCGGTGACGGCGGCGCGGCTGGCGGGGGTGTTGCTGCTCATCGTGTCCTTCCTCCCCGTGCTGGCGGCCGGCCTGGCCAGCGCGCCGCAGCCCCTCCTCGCGGGGGTGGGGCTCGCCGTCCTGGGGGCGGGCTCCGGCCAAGGTGAGTCAGAGGCGGATCTTTGGCAAAGTAGCACCGCTCGGTCTCTCTCGCATCCTTCAACGCCCTATGAGTGCGACAGAGGCAGAGCGATGAAACGACTCCTCGCGATCACCCTGCAGGCCGCGTGCTCGCTCGTCCGAAAATAGTATGGCCGTGTGTACCGAGGCCGATAAGTTCGGGACTTTTCTGCGCTGCACGCCGCCGATTCAGAGTCCGAGTCCGTCGACCTGTCTCTCTCGCGCCCATACGGACGCGCCATGGGTGCGAGAGAGAGAAAGGCTTCCCACTTCAAATCGCTGCTCTGTTTGGCTCGGCCACGCCGCGAAGCGCCGCGCTGAGAATCCTGATGCCGCCAGATTCTGAAGGAGTGTTTCTTCGCTCTGTCTCTCTCGCACCGCTACGGGCCGCCCCATGAGTGTGACAGAGACAGAGCGACGTACGAAACGCTCCTTTGGAATTGCTCGCGGCTGGCCGCGGTCGCAGAGGTCGAAGGACCCCCCGTACGCCTTGGCCAGCCACAGGCCACAGGCAGGAGGCGGCGGTGGCGCGTTCGATGGATGCGGCGCCCGGCTACCCTGTCCAGTGCAGCTGCCTAACCCGGTGCGTGTGTTGTGTTCCAGGCCTCAAGTACTTGCGCGGGGTCGACCTCAAGTCGCCGAGGACCTGCGTCGTGCTCGGCGTGTCCGTGCTCACCGGCCTGGTAGGTTCAACGTGTATCAGTGCAATCCCGAGCCGTAGACAATGCAGCAGCACAATGGCTCCGGCCGCCCGTCTGTCTGTCCGTCTGTCCCGCACTGCGACTCAACCCGCCCCCGTCCGAATGCACCCCACCGTTATCTGGCGCTCTGCAGGCTGGCTCCGAAACGCCTTGCCGTCTCGTCGCTCTCGCTGCATGCGTGTGAGAGAGACAGAGAGCGACGCACGCAGTGATCGCAGTGTTCCGTCCGCCCCACGCTCTCGTCGGCTATCGCCAGAATTTTCTAGTCCCGAGAATTGACGCCGAGGCTCTTTTTATCGGCCGTCGATGCGACCCAGAGACACGCTCTGTCTCTGTCGCACTCATCAGGCCCGCCGCAAGGGTGCGAGAGAGACAGAGCGGCGAACCGGCAGCCTGCCCGAGGTGGAGGGCTGTTCCCGGCGCAGTCGTTTTATTTCAGCTTGGCGATTTCCTCGCCTTCCCAAGTTCCCGCACTTTCTTTGGCTTCGCTTCCTCCCCGTCGGCGCGTGGAAACCGCCGGTTCTGCGCCAGGGCCTGCTTGTGGGCGAGCAGGAGGGGCTGTCTGCGTTGATAGGTGTAAAGAGGGTAACCAACGGCACACTGGGAGTGAGACCGTCCTCTGCCCTTCCCGTTGTTGCCTCTGGCCCGAGGCCCACCCCTAAACCCCAACTTGAGTTCGAACGGTGTTGTACTTGGCCTGGCAAGCACTGGCGCTTTCTTGTTGTTCCCGTGGACTCTGGTGACCCTGGCCGTGGCACCGCCACGCCGTCGGCCGTCGGCCTGTCGTCCTGCCGGAGCGGACTGGAGCGGACGCTACGCGACGGTGACGTCACGGCCAAGCACAACAAAGCCAGGCAGGCGCGGCGGCGCGGCTGACGGCCGGCCCGGGGTAGTCCCGCCCCGCTGCACCCCGCTACGCCCCGGCCCACCTTGACGTCGACCTGCGTCTGCGTCGCACTTGCGGGGCACAGTGCCATGGCAGAGCGCTGTCGCTGTCGCGCGTCATCGCCATCGTGGAGGGCTGGACCAGCTGGACCAGCTGGCCGGCCCGACCCGGGGCAAGCGGGGCAAGCCAAGCCGGCGGGGCCGCGCGGCCCGGCCCGTACGGCCGGGGCCAGTGTTTTGGACTTCGCTGGAAGTGTTGTCCAGTGGGGAAAGGCTCATAATCTGGCTGTGTTCATATTCATCGCACTTTAGCACAGCCCGTCGATAGTAAAACAGCCGGGCTGCTGGCTGGCTGGCTGCCTGCCTGCCTGGCGGGCGGCCTGGCAGGGCAGTGGCCCAGCGGCAGGGAAGTCCCAGGCGGGCCGCGGACGCCGCGCACCGCGAACTTCTTCCTTCACCCCTACGGCCCGTGCGGCCGTGCGCGCCAACAACGAACTGTAACCAATTATTGCGACGGCGGCCACTACGTAGTCGCGAACACCGCGATCGCGATCGTGATCGTGATCGCGATCGTGATCGTGATCGCGATCGTGATCGTGATCGCGATCGTGATCGTGATCGCCGCGGTCGTGAACGGACGCGTCAGAGTCCGACTGCCACCGAGTGGTAGGGGAGGCGCGTGTTTTATTTTCTGCGCTTGTGGACTTACGCACTTCTCTGGGCGGAGGGAGGGGAGGCGGGTCCAGCGTGGCATGGCGGCATGGCGTGGCCCAGCCAGAGGCGAGATCGCCGCCCCGCTTGCACTCTGCCCTCCTTTCCCGCAAGGCCATTGCTCGCACATAGAATTAGTAAAACGCTGCCCCCCTCCCCCACTTTCAGAGGGAAAAAAAGATAAGACAAAAAGGGTCTGGGAGTAGTTAAAACGTCGCTACGTTTGGGGCAGGAAACATCATTCATTGCGTTGAACTGATTAGACTGAGAGGGAGGCGGGGGGAAGGGGGGGGGGGCTGGAGTTGCCCTAGAGCCCTACATAGGGCTCTAAGTCCTCTTAGGTAGATCTAGGGCTCTGGCATTTGGGGGCGTTACTTATGCTTTTATTAGGATCACTTTATTATGGGTGCCATGAGGCTGATGTCGTCCATGCAGCAAGTGCGCTTTCCGCGACACATCCCCTTTAGTTTTATTGCTCTCAAACTAATCTTGTTCCACGAACCTCCCCAAATCGCGTTTTTCCAAAGCGCTTTTTCCGACTTTGCCCTTGCCTACCCCTGCCCTGCCCCTGCCCAGCCCTGCCCGCCGCCGGCGAGACGCACGGATGACGTGCAACGCAGCCAGCCGGCGGCGGCGGCGCGGCGGCCAGGCAGGCAGCCGGTCCAGCACCTTCTACAAAACTCCGTCGCCGTCTCCGCCAGCCACCAGTCCAGTGGACCGCAGTGCCGTGGACGCTCGCCGCCCGCCCTGCTCTTCGCCGTGCCGCGCCGGAGATCACTGCTGTTTGTAAACACGCTCGGTCACGGCCAAGACCGTCTTCGCCTTGCCACCCTCGCAGCCGCCGTGCGTAGCTGCGGCCAAGTTCTCGACATCCTCCACCCCGGGGCCCTCTGGTCCCCTCCTGCCGCGGAACCGCGTCGCCGCCGCCCCGCAGGATCGCCCCGACGACGCCCCCCGCGCCGCGCCGTTGAGACGCGGCCGTCAACACCTCCACCTTGTCGTCCAACGTGCATATGCAAGGCTCGGCGCTCGCCTGGTCCCTGCTGCATGCGCAGCCCAAGGAACACGGCCACCTGACCACGCGCCTGGAGCGCTCCTGGCACGGCAGTGTGCTGCTACTGTTCGACCACTTCCTCGAAGCACGCGAAGCTAGTCCTCGTCATGGACGGTCTGGGACTCCTACTGTCTCTGTCGGCCGCGTCCGTGTCCTGCCCTATGCAGATGGGCTGGCAGCTGGCCACCTTGTCTGTGACGCCGCCGCGGCCCGCGCGCGGCACCTGCGACCCCAACAAGTGCCGGTACGCCAAGCAGCCCAAGGACGGCAAGCACAAGCACTGCCGCAAGCACCACCACAACCACGCCGATCGGAAGCACCGACGACACCGCCACCGCGCCGACAGGGCGGACAGCAAGAGCGACAAGGCGGACATCACAGCGTCCCCCAGCACACTGTCCAGGTCCTCCTCGACGTCGACGGAAACCATGTCCTCAGCGGGATCGACGCCCGGATCGAACAAAGCGTACGTTCTCTGCCTCTCGGTCTTCGTGTTCTCTATCTGTGAAAAGAAAGTGGGTTTGTGGCCAGCGGTCCGGATGTGCGTTCTGTTTGCCGAGAGGGGCGCCAGTGTCACTGTCCCAGAGTCGCTGTGAAGGGGCGCGGGCGGTGCGGGTGGCGCCTCAGGGTGGCGCCCTAGGCCCTAGGCCCCAGGGGGGGGCTGCCTTTCCCACGCGATAAGCGCGGCGCTCTGTTTCCCGCCCCTCGGATCCGAATTTGAACCATTCTGTTCACCTCCCCACCCCGCAATCAGAACGTGAATCCCCCCTTTTCCCCCCAGCGTTCCCTCCTGGTACTTCCCCGCTCACCGGGAACGGGTTAGCCGACTCGACGGTCTCTTGCGGTGTGCTTGCAGTGTTCCGTGTGGCCGTGGGGGGGTGGAGGTCTGCCGTTTCAACGTGTTAACCTTGTTGTCTCCTCTTTCTGGCTGCAGACTGTTGCCGGGCGCTTGGGGCTGCCGGCACTCTCCGCTAACGCTCGGCTGGAGGGCGTGGACGCGGTGGCTGCTGGGGTCGTGGCGGCGGGTCCGCTCGCCGGGGCCGCACTGAGCCTGGTGCTGGAGGCCGTGCTGGCCGTGCTGCCGCTGAGACTGCCGCGAGGATTCGGACGAGGACTCGGCATCCCGACGACGTAGCAGTGCGTAGCAGCAACAGCGACCTGGGCTCTAGGCGCAGTGACGTCGCAACCAGGTCAGTATTGTCTTCACCTCGGATTTTATGCTGCAGAAAAATTTGCGGGGACCCTGTGTCATTAGCACTGTTTCCGCTATTCCATCACTTTGTTCAATATTTTGAACACAGTGTTTTTATTTTTATGTCCAGATAATCGTCAAAATCTTCAAGCTGCGCCGTCAATTCAGACATCATAATCTGGTAACTTGACACGAAGAGAATTCTTCACATTTTGATGGTCGGTGAGCGAGGTATGGGAAGTGTAAATAATTTTGACTCTGACAATCTGTCTTATATGGAAGTAGCTGTAACATCGTGACAATGTTTTGCTAATCGAGTGAACTACTGCTGTTGTTAATACGTACAAGAGTTTTTGACATTTGTGATAAATTGCTTTTTGAAGCATGTTGTATATATTGTAATTATTTATTAAGAAGCAGTGGATGAAAACTAATTTAGTGGTTAGACAGGCTTTCTTTGTGTTTTATTAATGCTTGGCCCTCAGCAAACTGTTTGAACATAACACACCTTAGATCATTCCTAGTTCAAATTCAACATCGTATGACTTGGTCTCCTGTGAATTTGCTTTTTCCCACTGGAAAAAAGAATTACTGACTGATAGAATGAAAAAGGGTGATGTGGATAGAAAAAAAATAATTACTTAACTATTGTACTTGTTCCATCCTCTTAGATGCTTAGTAAAAGCCTATTTATTTTGTATTTTTGTGAAATTGTGTAATAATGTGAAGCTTAACATGATCTCAAATACTTTGTAAAGAATTGTATTTTTATTTTTAAAAGAGCAATGTACATAATAATGGAGTTTGTTTCTACAATGAAATTATAAAGTATCTATATTTTTGTAAGAGTATGTTCAAAACAAATCAGTTCAATAAAAGAGTGCACATACACTGCCGTCCATCACTTTCCTCTTGAAATAATACCCAGTAATCATGTCAGACTAAGTCATGAATCTAAAATACAATGTTGCTTCCTCACAGATATACAGTAAACACTAAAAAAAAATAAGAGCTGCCAACAAAATAAAACCTTTCACAGACAATATTTTTCAAAAAATATTCATCACAAAAGAAGATACGCTACCTAATCACAACCCAACCATCAATTAAACAACATAACACAGAAAACGAGATTGCACAGTGTTTGCAAGACTGTCCCAACATATTCAGGGTATTTCGACTGTAAAGAACTACTGTATATAAAAAGCGAGTTTGCGCTTGTTGTGTCGTTGAGGCCCCTCACCACTCCTTGTCAAACCCAAGGAAAACAAACACACACACAAAAAAGGCTTGCTCCGTGCCAGAATTTGCTAGCTGCGGCGTGTTTCGGGCGTAGACAGACAATACTTGCACTATTGATGGGTGAGGGGCATTAACGTACCAAGAGAGCGTGAACACACCTAAATACATCATTGGTTAATACCTATTCGGCTGTTGATTGATCATGTAAATATATAAATGAGGTTGTCTTTGATTCAATAAGGATACATAACAAGACATTGATAAAACGTAATATCAATAGTAAAGTGAAAAGATTCTAAAACAATAAAAACAAAAACAAAAAATGCATTTGTATAAAGACAATTATAATATGACTAATAAACAAGAAAATGGCAAAAATATATAAAAATTAAAAAGTGATAAAAAACGCACACATGTGCAAAATATCATTGCGTATGAGTATCAATAGTATTGAAATTGCAAGCACACAGTCCTACAGAGAAGACAAGGCATTGATTGTGACAAGACATATTTCTTGTAGGAATGCTTTAAATCAGTCTTTTTCACAGCAAACTGATGTATTCTCTTCATATCTAAACTAATAGAAGGTCCCATTCATGAAGGCCCTTGTTAGAACAGATTTCGAGAGTGAGAAGCTGGCCTTTGCTTGCAGCTGGTGCAGCAAGACATAAGCCAGATGCTAAGTTGTAAACTGGTGTCTTTTTCTGTAATTTTTAAAACATAAAGAATTAATAAAATTCAAAGGCCTCCTCTTGTATTTCAATACAATCATAAATGGAAATTTTACTCACATGTCCTCTTTTCTTCCATTCCTGGTTATCGCCCATCTCATGGCACTTATAAAGCCTTGGGAAATTGTCTCCAGCCTCCAAACATAATAGTTGAGACAGAACTAACTCACTCTTATCAGTTTCATACCATAACTGGAAACCAAGTGGTTTTTTTTTGTGTACAAGCCTTCATTAAAATGTGTAGAAATAAAAAAGGAAAAGAATGGGCATGGAAGTCACCTCACCTGGTTTGGTGCTCTCATACAAGTTTTGAGTAAAAGACGTGCACCCTTGGTCTTCACATCTTTTTCAGATGTCATGCATAGACTGGTGTTTGATAAGCGAATCTGCACAGAAAAACATTATTAAAATAATACATTTAAAGCTAGACAAAAAATAAATAAATAAACAAACCTGATATTGATCGATATAGTTGCGCTTTCGTGAATGCCATGGCTGATACTGTTTTCTTTCCAAAGCTTTCCACTTCTTTTGCAAACGACTCTTATCATCACTTGGAAGGATAAGTTCTGGGTAGACATTATTCAAGTACCATTGAAAGTTGTGGCAATTAAGGCGATTTCGGAGTACAATGCGCTCGTTTACATCACCAAATGGATACTCTCTCAAGTGAGATCGTTCTTTGAAAAAATATTCCTAGATTAAAATATCAAATATATTATTGCAAAACCAAACACAAAGCAGTGGTCATTCATGATTTAAAGATACCTTATATTCGTCCATCCAAACCATTGCCACTCTCAGAGAGTTTCGAGTCATGGTGTCTTCACCATCAGGAGACCCATAAGGTCTGCGTCGTCGAAAAACATGGCCCACCCGAGAGCAAGGTATAAGTTCTAAAGAACCTCCACACATCCAAATCTAATAGAGATAAAGAGATCCCATTAGAGGAAATCAAAGAAACAGGGTCACTAATTTTGAGAGGCAACCAAGACATACCCTGAATGATATTTCCAAATTTTCTCCACCCCAAATGTTCATTCCAGAATCATAAGCACCAAGGTCAAAAAAGTACTTCCGGTCCATGGCAAATAATCCACCTGCCATGGTTGGTGACCTAATTTCAAATTATTTGAGTTCAAGGTAAAGTAATGAATGATTTGCAGGATTTATTTATTTTATCTTTCATTCTTACTTGATAGGTTTCACGAAGTCCTGATCACTGGCAAGGGTACCAAGAGGGAGGTTTTCCCATTTGAAATGTAAACCCCAGTTGAATCCTCCACGTACCAAGGGAGAAGCATTGTATTGAAATGTATCAGCATTAATGATGTCGATCACAGGCATCACTACGGCAGTGCGATTGGGGCCTCCTTTCTCAACAATCCTTGACAACAATGGCTCCAACCAAACTTCATTGACTTCAATATGACTATCCAAAAAGACCAAAATCTAGAACAGAAAAAAGAAAAAGATGAAAACAAGAAGTATGAAATTAAAAAAGAAACTTAGATAAGGCATGCTTAGCACACATACATCTCCAGTGGCTTCCTTCGCTCCAAATGTTCTAGCACGCATTATTCCCTCCCGTTGTGGAGTCTTTAATAAAACTACTTTATCCGGAAATTTTGTTAATACATATTCTCGTAAGCGGTCATGTACTCCCTCTAGAAAAGAAAGCTTACAAGTGATTACGATATGTTTTGAAATGGAACCAATTCCTGAATAATTTCTACTAGAGGGTACCTAGGTCACTGTGGTCATCAATTAACAATATTTCATGAAGTAATTGAGATGGAGTTCGATCCAAAATACTGTGAACTGTTCTAAGAAGGGTTTCGTAGTGCTCATTGTAAAAACAAATAACAACACTGGCAGTGGGTAAATTTTCCTTGTACTTAATACTTTGACATCTGTAATTGAAGAGAAGCAATTAAAACCACATGTTGCCAAGGAATAAGAAGAAATACAGGCCACATCAGTCTCCTTACTTACAATTTATTCAGAGTATCGGGGACCTTCCGATGCAAATCTAGGTTTTGGCTGACCAACACATTAAAAGCAAAGTGCTTGTAGCCATTGTCCCGAAGCTGTCGGTCTGCATCACTCTTCACCATGCCCAACTCTTCTAACACACTATTACCTAAAAACATTAATGGGAAGTCAATGAAAATCCATTTGAGACTGCAAAAGTGTTGTCAACATGGAAATGAACTCACTTTCAGATTTATTCTTAGGCAAGACAGGCTTCAATTTCTTAAGCAGTCTATCACTATTTTTGTAACCATATTTATTTGCTTTGTTTTGAATCGCATTATTGGGAGACCATTTGCTTTCGTAAGGCAGTTGTGGTAAAAGGTCTTTATTAGTCTCTAAAATGTTAGAAACTTGATTTTCGGCACCAATTGGACTCCATAACACCTGGTCTGACTCGTTGAGAAATACTTTCCGTAAATTGAGACCTGTTTCAACATTGCAAATCTACATTATTCTTTAACATTTGGTTGACGTGATATTTAAATGTGATATAATTTGTAAATACCTGAGGGTGAGACAGTGCTTAAAAAGTTTGTACGGTCCGACTGACTCAGATGGGTATATAGGTACAGGCTGACCATCCATGTAGCAGAAGCAAAAAGGATTCCCAAAAGAAACCAAGAATACCTTCTTCCATTCGCCATTTTAAATTGTGTGAAGAATCCTGAAACGAGCAAAGTGACACTTGTCCTTAGACATTTTAGCAGACAGAAGTAGGGTTAATTCTTGACACATATATATGACAGCAATGACTCTCAAACGGGTGATACCCACTCAAGCCAAAAAGATAAAGTGGAAGATTAACGTTTTTACAGCGGTTTTAATTGTTGCCAAAATCATTTACCTCTCCTCTCAAAACCGAATAACAACAAACACAAATTAATGTCTTGTTGCGCAAAAAACCAAAACACTGTCCCCCTCCCCCCTCCTCCCCCGTTCAAAATGGCAGCTTTCAGCAGTGATGGACAGCGTTGCATTGAGCAACAAGTCGGACCAATAAATGTTAGTCCAACTCCATTGAACGAACTTCGCAGTGCCTATGAATTAGATCGCTGTGATTCTTGGATTCAAACCAACCATTACTCGAAGGTATTCACACGTTTTCTTTGCGAAGTGTACAGGTTATGTTTACTTGTTGGGCCTGCTATGGTCCCACCAATCCAATTGTGAGCTTCTTTTTCTTTTCAATCTTGTCAGTCGTTTCATCCATTCCTCTTTTCTAGGTTTGTCTTCAGTTCCCAGATGAGCTATTATGTGATGCACCCGACATTGTTCTTATCCTGCAGAACTCCTCTGGGGCCCACTGTTACATCCTTGGTGATACTTCTTATGGCAGGTGTGAATAAGTTTGAGTTACTCTTTCTTCCTCTGACATAGCATTTAGTCGTCAAGGCATATTTTGTAACTCTTGATTGCTCCCATCATGTTTGCAGCTGCTGTGTCGACGAAGTTTCTGCTGAACATGTCCAATGTGACGGAATTATCCACTTTGGTCATGCATGTCTCAGCCCAACTAGACGACTCCCTGTTTTGTATATATTTCCTAAAAATCCATTTGATGTTGAAAGGCTGTGCAGTGCCGTGAATGCAACTTTTAAGGACAGAAAATCAAAACTTCTGTTTATTTATGATGTTACTTATGCTCACAAAATAGGTTATTTCACAATTTTCCTCTTTCTTTAACCAAAGTTAACATTGTTGATTTTGTTTCCATTATTTCCTTATTTTTTTTTACCCAGATGAAGTCTACGATACTCTGTCATGTTTATATCCAAATCTGGTGACTGCCTACCCAAATGTGAGTAGTTGCCATACCAAAGAAGGGAAAGAACAACAGCAAGTATGCCTGGGAAGTCGATTTTGTATTCCAGAAGGAACATCTTTGGATGATTACAATGTGTTATTTATTGGCAAGGATGGCCGAACATTTACTAACTACTTGTTAGAATTTGGTGGTAAGTCACAGTTCTTTAACATACCCTATGCGGAAGGTAGTCCCATCACTACTATGCATTTTTGTTTTTAATTCAGATATTTATTTCTTGTGTTTTACAGCAGACTGCAAAATATTTCGCTATGACCCTGATGAACCAGTGTCAGTTATTGAAGCAGCAGATGGAAAAATTAGCAAGTTCCTTATGAAACGTCTCCATTTAGTTGAAAGGGTAAAAGATGCAAAAACACTGGGCATACTTATTGGAACTCTTGGTGTGGATGGATATTTGGATGCAGTTGATCAAATAAAGAATCTCGCAAAGAAAGCAGGAAAAAAGACATACATATTTGCTGTTGGCCGTCCAAACATTCCTAAATTAGCAAACTTTCCAGAGGTTTGTGTCTATCTAAACCTTACAGGTTACAATTGTTTTTATTTTCAATGAATGAAAGGCTTCCACTTCATTCAAATTTTACAGATTGACGTTTTTGTCCTTGTTGCTTGTCCTGAAAACTCGTTACTGGACTGGAAAGATTTTTATCAACCTGTTGTATCTCTTTATGAAGTTGAATTGGCCTGCAACACTCTGCGGCAATGGTCTACAAAATATGTCTCGGATTTCCGGCAACTTCTTTTGGGTAAAATGTCCATGTTACCATACCTCACCAATTACTTTGACTTTCTCAGAAAGTGTAATTTTTCAGTTTTATCTATTACTGTTTCAGGAGGAAAAGACCATGTACAGCTACCAGAAATTTCGATGGAAAATTTTTCAGATGTGTCATTGATAACGGGCAAAGTTCGTAATGTAGATATTACCAATATTGCCAGTGCTGAAAGTGATTCTTCTAACCGAAGTATCACAGATCGTGGGGATCTAACAGTTTGCTTGAGCACAGGAAGTGAGTTTTTGGTTAATCGGACTTGGCAAGGTCTGGAACAAAATTTAGGCCAAAATCCTGTCGAACTAGCTACTTTAGGCAGGAGTGGTATAGCCAGCAGCTATCATTCCGAACCTGTGCAAAGAGATGCTGATTAATTTTTCATTGCCCTTCAGGACTGTTCAGTGCCATACTCTGTATTTTTGTCTTTTATTGTTATGATTTGTTGTTTGACTTTGATCCCCTCACTAAAATATTTACATATATCAATTCAAATTATAGCTATGTCTATTTCAAAGTAGGGGTCTGAATTACAAAACTATTGATCAATATTGACTTTTATTTTTCCCGTAAGACCCATTGGCGGCAAGTTACCCAGTGGGCCGAAATATGTAAGTGATTTGTCAAAGGACTTAACTGCTTCATACGAAACTAAGCATGGTTGGCTGCAATCTATTTATATTCCTTGAGGATCAAGAAATCATTTGAACTGCACAGCTTCTTCTTGAGTCAAAATAATTCTAGTATGGAATTTATTCAAATCTTTTGAGAAAAAGGAAGGTTGTTTTCATGCCAATGAACATGGCAAGATAAGAAAAATGATAAGGAAAACATTTTTGTAAAACAGATATCTTTACTGTCGCCCCTGTCAAAGTAACACTATTGCTTGGATGAAAGTACAAACCAAATACAGAGAATTGATAGCACGTTCGGAAAAATAAAATATAAAAATAATAAAAATAGAAGATATTTTTTAAAAGAAAAGCATGAAGTTAACTCCAATACTGCAGGGTGATAAGAATAAAATTAACCTGCCATCCCGCACAGAATAAAAATATTATACCAGTAATCTTTGAAAGGCCACTAGAAGGGAAAATCCACAAAGATTAACAATGAAGAGAGCACTCTGCTTCTTTTCATATGATAATTAACATCTCAGTAAAATCAGATGAGTCAAATATAAACTTCAATTAATCACAGAGGTCTTTACACCTACAAGAAATCTCATAAAGAAGTCCAGTTCACACAAGGAAAGGGGTACAGATAAAGCAGGGACATACTCAAGAATAGCTTTTCGGGTACAATAAGAATTGCAGACAGAAAATCGTCCTTTTTCGAAAAGACAAATACTTTAACAATGCTGATGTCAGGGAAACAATTATTTAGGAAACAAACGACCTAATGAAGATGATAAAAACAACAATAAAATTAATGCAACAGATTATTATTATTTTCATTTCATCAGACTTGTAACAGCATAATCTGAGACAATCACACTTAAATTCATAGGTAATGTATAGAGAAGTTTCTCAGCTCGGGTGATCCTGCTGCTTCAACAAGTACAAAAGAAGTCTAAAGAAGAGATTGATCACACGAAAATGTAACAAGGATTACAGATGATACCAGTGTATTTATATCCCTTTCAAAAAACAATAAACATTATGTGCCACACTATCATTATCATCTTGAAAGCTTGGCATTTTAGACAGTTTTGGAAGCTGAAGGAGATGCATAACTTCCTTGGTGGCAATGTGTCATGACTCTACAAACTTGTTCAATAACATACATTTCCATTCATCAGTCATTCACTAAAGAAACTTTGATTAAAGATAGATCTATCATTTTTCGTTGATATCGTTTCACAAAAGCAGATGCAGCCTCCGTGGCAGCAAAGCGTATTAAAGCTCGCTTCCTTGCTTGATCTACTTTTATACTCTGAAATGTTGACAGAGAGCACAACTTTAGAATTAATATCTAGACAGTATGTACTATTCTTCAAAATCATCTGAGACTTACCTCAACCCTACCAATACAATTGCACATCATTCGCAACTGTGTTTCATTTGTGCTGTTTGCTAAGTTTTCAACAGACACTGACTTTGCAGCTGAAGAAAGGACATCACTACTCATACTACTTGATTCTACAGAAGCGCCGGTCTAAAAACAAAGTAAAAAACAAGGAAACATTAATACAAGAAAGACAAACACTGTAGAACATTTCAGAAACATTTCATATTCCCTCTCCTCATACCTCTTGCGAAATCTTCACACTTCTTTGAACACCACTGTTGCTTTGGCTATGTCCACCTCGCATAACAACAATTCGTCCAACTTGGCCACCCCGTTGAGGCACACTGCTGGATACGGCACTTCCCTGCAATCCATTAAAAAATTGTCATAATGTGACGGTAGACAAGGAAAAGTAAAAAGCTGAATGAAATAAGGACTTACAGCAGATCCACTAAGCACACTTTGAGCCTGAGGAAGTCTGGAAGTAGATCCCTGAGTGGTGACTTGGGTGGTCTGGGCCGCAGTTTGTGTGTTGCCCAGCCTTTCATGGATCTGTGCTACCTGCCCCCCTCTTCCACCACGGGCTTTGACAGCTGCAACTCTGCCTCTCACAGCCCCTACACCTCTACCCCTCGATGGTCGACTACTACTAGCTTCACTTGATACATTACTAAAAGGCTGGTTTTGCAGCTGCTGCTGTGATTGTCTCATTTGCTCATTTCTTGAATTAAATAAACAATTGTCCTGATTTCTATTAACAATAGTGGGTATGGTTTGCTGCTGACAAGGCTGTACAGACAACACAGGTCTGTCATTCCCAGCAGAGGTAAGTTGTTTGCTAACAGTCGATGGATCAATTTCTCTCTGTTTCTCCAGGGCTGCTTTTCTTCTTCGCTCTTCTTTTACCTGTAAAAACTTCTCACGAAGTTTTTTCTGTTGTTCTATTTTTTTGCGGTACTCGCGAGTTTCCTCGTCCTGAAAGGGGGGGAAAGTACAGTAAAAATCAAGTGATTCTTGTGTTACAGACTGAAAAAGTGTTACTGTAATTTTTAAAAATTAATCTGCATAGGACTTACTTCATTTAAATTTTCTTCTACTTTGGTACCTTGGATATCTTTTTCCTTTGAGAAATAAAAAATAGAACTCCAGTAAGATTAGATGAATAGGGGAAAAAAAGGCATTCAAACATTATTACCTCTACAAAGAGACACAGCTTACCTGTTTTGGTTCTAATCTAACTTGTTTACGAGGCACCACACCTGGAGAAGAAGAGGAAGATGATGTTGATTCAGCTAAGGACCGTTTTGGAGGAGAGTGGATTTGGTTTCTGAAATGATGCTGTTGACTCATCTGCTGGGTTGATTGCTGCCTTGGAGGTTGGCGCAGCAATTTCTGATGACCTCCATGCGACTGGAAAGATTCCTGAATAATACCATGATAACACAGAGGTGAAATGAAGATGTGGGAGCATAGAGAAAGGCACAAATTAATTTTAAGAAACTTCTAAAGAAAATCTCTTTTAACTCCAGCTCAAGACTACTGCAATTGACCACATAAATATTGTCAGGAAGACTACATTTCCACACAATTATTCAAGCAAGGGTGAGAATGTTGTGCATTTACGGCACTCCACTTCACTTCCACTATGTGGAACATTATTGTTAAGAAATGACTGCCTCTATTACTTGATCAATTATTGTGTAAGAGAAAAGTGAACTAAGTGTTTTTTTTATTTGGTTTTCTTTAGAAGAAAGAAAAAATGTCAGCTTACCACAGGCTGCTGAGGTGAGCCTCCAAAGCTATTGTGGTGTTGGACAAGGTTTACCTAATTCAGAAATGGTTGAAAATGAATGGTTTCAATTGAGTCTTAAAGTCCAACCACTGGGGAAACCACACAAGAGTCTACATTACAGCTAAAATATCACAGCAACTCACCTGAGCATTTTGGTTTAGGTTTTGAGGAGTTTGGCTCCAGTCTGGAGTAGGGCCATGGTGATAGTTCAATTCGTGCCCTGTTGGGCCATTATTGTTATACTGCAAACTTTCGTTGTTGTTCCAAGATGTTCTCCCTAAAACAAAAATAGGAAATATCCAATTTTTAAAACATTAAAAGAGTTGCAAAAGGTGAAGTATAACTAAAAGAGTGCTTTGACACTTGTCGGATGAGGTAGTTTTATTCCTAGTTTTAAGGTCTGTTCAAACCTTACCCTCATTTGGTGGATACACATTCCCTCGGAAATGTGGATTAATGTGGATCTTAGTAGGCATATTTGGTTGGAGGTTAGAGTCAGAATGCTGGGTGTTGTAAATGACTCTTTGGATAGAAAACTGATCATCCTAGGAAGATAAGATTATAATAATAAATATTAGAACTTGGAAAAAGTAAACAATGCAAATGAAATGACCATTAAGACATCCCATTACCTGATTTGTTCTAATATAGGATAGATTTTCCTCCAACATATTAGCATTAAAGCCAGAGGACATTCCACCTCCATTCTGAGCTAAATGACCAAAACCTCCATTCAGATTTGGGCCAGACCCATGTCCCATAGGTCCTATATTCGAGTGAATATTCATGTTAGAACCCATGTTTGGATGACCGAAAGGAGAAGCCACATTAGAGGGGGCCATTGGAGGTGGCCTTGTGTTTGGAGGCCCTATGTGAGGTGGTGGCACATTAGGAATTACTACATTAGGTCCAATCATGCTCATGTAAGCCATGTGCTGACCCATAGGTGGGCCTACATGTTGACCCATATTGGGTCCCATATTGGGTCCCATATTGGGTCCCATATTGGGTCCCATATTGGGCCCCATATTGGGTCCCATGTTGGGCCCCATGTTGGGTCCCATGTTGGGTCCCATGTTGGGTCCCATGTTGGGTCCCATATTGGGTCCCATATTGGGACCCATATTGGGACCCATATTGGGACCCATATTGGGACCCATATTGGGACCCATATTGGGACCCATATTGGGACCCATATTGGGACCCATATTGGGACCCATATTGGGACCCATATTGGGACCCATATTGGGACCCATATTAGGACCCATATTAGGACCCATATTGGGACCCATATTGGGACCCATATTGGGTCCCATATTAGGTCCCATATTAGGTCCCATATTAGGTCCCATGTTGGGTCCCATATTATGCCCCATGTTGGGTCCCATATTAGGTCCCATGTTGGGTCCCATATTATGCCCCATGTTGGGCCCCATATTAGGCCCCATGTTTGGTCCCATGTTGGGCCCCATATTCTGACCAATGTTGGGTCTCATGTTGCCCCTTATGTTGCCTCTTAAGTTGGGACCCATGGGTCTTACATTGGCAATCACCCTATGTGGATGATTGTGCATATTTCCGGGACGCATGCCCATGTTCTGATTAATTGCGCCAGGACCAGGTTGTCTAGGGTTCCATAGCCTTTGGCCATGAGACTGGCCGCGTCCACCTCGCATTGCTCCTCGATTGGGTGGACTGCCTCTTGCCATATTGCCGCGCGTGGCGCCACGGCCTGCTCTACCTCTTCCCCACATTCCTTTCTGAATTCGTGAAATACCTTGCATTTGATTACTGCTTTCGTCAGGTATCACTTGATCTGTTAAAAAAAAAGTATATCAATTAGGCACACAAAATTAGAAGTAAAAGGAACAACGGTAATGATTTGTTTCACCTTACCTAATGAATCTGGTATGTTACCATACTGTTGTCGATTTGCTTTGACAGGGCCCGAAGAATCGCGTTCAGATCGGAAGCGGCCCCTAATCCCTTCTTCGTCATCATCATCTTCTTCCTCTTCTTCATCTTGAGGGATGCTTCTACTGGGTTGGCAATCTTCTTGAGAGGTAGAGAATTCTAAAGTCAGAAAGAAGAGAGTTAGATGAGTGTTAAGTGTACAGCAGTATTGTATGTACAGTAAGATAAGTCCAGTAATTGAATACAATTGTATTTATACCTTGAACTGGAGATTCTTCTTCAACATGCTCCCTTTCTCGAGTGCTGGAAGGCAAAATAAAAAAAAACAAACAACTATTAATTTAGAGACAGACTAAATTTAAAATCATTGTCAGGTTCTGCCTAGACTGTACCTATGGCGTGGCGTCAAATCATATGTAGGTTCAGTGCTATCTGGAGCCCCATAGTCACTATCTTGAATTTCAGTATCAAAATCGTCCCGTACTTCAAGATCCAAAACATCCTCAGATTCTTCAAGAAGACCATCATTGTGCTGCAAGTATGAGAATAAGAACATGAGACAAATTTGTCAATCATCAACAAGATTGTTTTCTTTAAACATCAATTCAATAAGATAAACAAAAAACCAAAAGAGGTGAGAAAATTACACCATGTCTGAGCAAGCACTGTAGCTTCAAAATAGAAAGAATAAAATAATATAAAAGAACATTTGGATTTACCTCCTCTGCATAATCAGCTAAAAGAGCCTCTTCATCTCCTTCGCCGAGATCATATTCCTCATCTCCATCCTCCTCTAACAACTTGTCATCACTGAAAATGTTCAATTCGAAATTAGTTCAAACAATAAACAGACACAGAAAAAGTCAAGGAAATGTTAAAGCAATTTAAATGCCAAAAATCAGCACGAAACAATGAGAATATGTCTAAAATAGGTAAGTTGGCTGTTTGTAGCATCAATAAGTTAGGTTAAACTACAAGTTGACTAGAGAAACTTTTTTTAAAAAAAATGAAGTAATGGGTGAATTTTAAAACAAAGCCTACCAAGTATCCATGTTCAAACCGAACCACATCCATAGAATGCCATAAATATGAAGGTATCCTCGTAGAAAGCGATTTTTTAAGCTGAGAAGAAGGGACTTTCGACGAAATTACAAAGAACGAAAATGACTTGGGGTTAAGAAATAAATCACTAAAACCACGTATGAGAGAAAATCGTCAAAATTAAAACTGAGCTAAATTGATTCTTAGATTGACTAGTGACAGTCAAAACTGACAATTTTGTGTTAAAACGCGGGCCTTACTTTTCGTCCGACATGACGACTTCTCACTTCAGTTTATAGGTGACATTCATATTCATGTTGGGGGTCGATTACGGCGGCGTTTTATTCGGCAGCACTACCGCTCGCGCTCGTGAACACACGGTTGGGTCCGGCCGAAGCTCGGGAGCCAACCAGCGGCGAGCACGGGTCCGACAGAAGATCGCGCGTTTTAACTCACGCCCGTAATCGGCTGCAGTGTTTACGTCTGATTTACAAGGAACGAGGAAGGATTGACATTCGATGTTTTAGCTGCGTCTCGGCGGCATTTAAATTATAACACGCAAAAATTATCATCCGAGGTTCTGAAAGTGTGTATTATTGGTTAAATTACTCGTACAGGGGTTATGGTTCGTTCGCGATGTAAACAAACAGTTTTTGAAACATTTCTACGTTACTAACCGTGGCAGTGCGTTAATTTGAATCCATACTGAACAATCAATAGTAGTTCTATTATTATAACAGCTCATAAGGAGGTGACAGCTCAAATTTCCTTATTACAAGCCAAATGTTTTTACTACTGCTGATTACGATCGTGAGTTAAAACGCGCGATCTTCTGTCGGACCCGTGCTCGCCGCTGGTTGGCTCCCGAGCTTCGGCCGGACCCAACCGTGTGTTCACGAGCGCGAGCGGTAGTGCTGCCGAATAAAACGCCGCCGTAGGGATGGCCGATAATCGATCGATAGTCTGAACAATCGATTATTTCTTGCGATAGTCGCCAAAAAAACATTCGATAGTACACAGTCCGATTAATCGCACAATCGATACTTTTTTAGCGATTATTTTTCCGATTATGGCGTTAATTTTTTGTATCTGCATCTGCGAAAATCCAGCGGGTGGAAACTCCCGGGCGGAGGGTGAAACCAGGTCCGCACGGCCGGTCCGGCCGGCAGACGAACCCGTAGCCCCGCATTGGTAACTTCTTTTTATCAGAACTATCATAAAACTAAGAGTTAGGAGGAAAACCGGGTACCGTCGTGAAGCTAAGAGTCTGCAGAATGCTCTCGTTTCATTGTTTTGATCTAAAAATGCCCACACTATTAATATTAACGATTAAAACAAGATAGCCGGGTAGCGGGCTACGCTACACCCGAGATTTGTTCACTTTCGTTCTCAGTTCTGAGCGATGCTAGACCCTACATGTCCGCGAGCCGATTTTTCCTTATAAAATTTAACGTGGCGTAGGGTACATTATTTGGCGATAAAACTAACCTCAACGTTGTAGCCGAGTCCAAATGTGATGTGTCGAAATGGCGTCTGCCGGCACTTCTCACTTTAACCTCATAAATAAGATACAGACAATACAATTAACCAAAGCATATATAGCCTACGCCACGTGAAATTTTATGAGGATTCCAAATCTCTCCTTAGTTTTTGAAATAAACCTACGATTACTGAAGGCGAGACAGATTAAAATCGGCCGACGCAAAGACGCCAAAACGACAGGTTTACTGTGTGCACTAATGTGAGAGAACTGCTGAGTCTAAACTCTGTTGCGTAACTGATAATTAATCTTCAACCATGTCTTCGTGCAGATTCGTCGAGTTTCGTTGCACAGAACTTGATATGAATTAACAAATTCAATGGGAAAATATTGTGTCAACAAACACCGTTTGAAAGAAAACAAGCCCGTGTCGTCGGGACCAGTCTATGAAAAATTCTCCGGTCAGCTCGGTTAGCGGTGTAGGGCTGTTGAATTAAGCCGCTCAGAAGCGTACAGTACAATTTTCGCAAAATTGTTTATAAAAATTTTGAACATTGTATTGACGCTTCTGGGTAGCATCGCTTTATTCACACCGAAACTGCGAGCCGATCGAGCGGTGAATTTCTCATAGGCTAGTTCAGACGACACGGGCTTGTTTTCTTTCAAACGGTGTTTGTTGACACAATATTTTCCCATTGAATTTGTTAATTCATATCAAGTTCTGTGCAACGAAACTCGACGAATCTGCACGAAGACATGGTTGAAGATTAATTATCAGTTACGCAACAGAGTTTAGACTCAGCAGTTCTCTCACATTAGTGCACACAGTAAACCTGTCGTTTTGGCGTCTTTGCGTCGGCCGATTTTAATCTGTCTCGCCTTCAGTAATCGTAGGTTTATTTCAAAAACTAAGGAGAGATTTGGAATCCTCATAAAATTTCACGTGGCGTAGGCTATATATGCTTTGGTTAATTGTATTGTCTGTATCTTATTTATGAGGTTAAAGTGAGAAGTGCCGGCAGACGCCATTTCGACACATCACATTTGGACTCGGCTACAACGTTGAGGTTAGTTTTATCGCCAAATAATGTACCCTACGCCACGTTAAATTTTATAAGGAAAAATCGGCTCGCGGACATGTAGGGTCTAGCATCGCTCAGAACTGAGAACGAAAGTGAACAAATCTCGGGTGTAGCGTAGCCCGCTACCCGGCTATCTTGTTTTAATCGTTAATATTAATAGTGTGGGCATTTTTAGATCAAAACAATGAAACGAGAGCATTCTGCAGACTCTTAGCTTCACGACGGTACCCGGTTTTCCTCCTAACTCTTAGTTTTATGATAGTTCTGATAAAAAGAAGTTACCAATGCGGGGCTACGGGTTCGTCTGCCGGCCGGACCGGCCGTGCGGACCTGGTTTCACCCTCCGCCCGGGAGTTTCCACCCGCTGGAAAATCGCTTGTTGAACCTGACTCCAACTCACTCCGCGCCGCCCGCGCTCACGCTGAGCGTAAACTGAGAAGGCTGAGCTATTGTGATTTGTTCCTTTAAAGTGATTTTAGGGTCCTAAAACGCTATTAAAATGCGATTCTAGCTTCCTCTGGCCTGCTGCTAACATCGGCGACCCGTGGCGCTACCTCACAGACATAATGCGAACTACCGATATGGCGGGAGATTTTGAACTTGGAACATATCAAACAAGGTTTGGGAAGTGAATTTTGATCCTTATGACCTAAATTTCAATGAAGATGCTTCCCATGATTAAATATTGTGGCCGAAAGTTGATCCCAGGCACATGATTGACTACTTTTTGGTGTTCCCAAGAACTCGGGTTGGGGTGGTCCGACTAAAGCTTTCTCGACATCTTTTATTTTAGACCTAATGTTTTTTCTTGAATTATTGATTGACTATTTTTGTGTTTTGTGATCACTGATCATGTTAACCTAATGTTTCAGTAGAACTTCAATGTTACTTCTTCTTGAACAATTGAGTGAAAACTTGTTTATGCAGCTCCTTTTTTCTTTGACTTTTTGTACGCAAATGAAGTGAAAAATTAATGTTCCTCACCTTTGTTTAAAATTTGTATTAATTAAATCTTAATATATACTAACAAATTGTTCACTTGCTTGCCCTTATTATCACAGTTAAGAGAGAATTATGGCTGTAGTGTCGATTTCTTTATAAACTGTGATAAGGACGAGCAAGTGAACGATTGGTTAGTATATATTAAGATTTAATTAATACAAATTTTAAACAAAGGTGAGGAACATTAATTTTTCACTTCATTTGCGTACAAAAAGTCAAAGAAAAAAGGAGCTGCATAAATAAGTTTTCACTCAATTGTTCAAGAAGAAGTAACATTGAAGTTCTAATGAAACATTAGGTTAACATGATCAGTGATCACAAAACACAAAAATAGTCAATCAATAATTCAAGAAAAAACATTAGGTCTAAAATAAAAGATGTCGAGAAAGCTTTAGTCGGACCACCCCAACCCGAGCTGTTGGGAACACCAAAAAGCAGTCAATCATGTGCCTGGGATCAACTTTAGGCCACAATATTTAATCATGGGAAGCATCTTCATTGAAATTTAGGTCATACGGATCAAAATTCACTTCCCAAACCTTGTTTGATATGTTCCAAGTTCAAAATCTCCCGCCATATCAGTAGTTCGCATTATGTCCGTGCCGCAGCGCTGTATGTTGTCCCCTGAATGTAGGCAATTTCAAGGAGCCGAGGAACCAAGAATAGTTTGATAAAATTAGGACTCAAAAGTATTGTTTTCTATTTTTCCTGTACTTAAAGCAAAACTATTCGATAATCGGTCCTATCGATCATTTTTTATCGATGTATCGAATAGGTGAAAACATGAAGTAGTCCTACTTCATGGTGAAAATCGGTATTTTTGGTAATTCGATAGGAAGACTATCGATTATTTTGTTCCGATTGGCCATCCCTACGCCGCCGTAATCGACCCCTTGATTTTGTCTCAAGCTTTCGTTATGAGAAATACAGCAGTTTGTTGTTATTTATTTTTCAGTTGTTTTCAGCTGTTTTTGTCTGCTTGCAGGAGAACCAAATGCCTTCGGCTGTTGTAAATCTTGCTTTTTGTTAAAGTTTTGCTTCATTTAATAACGACCACCGGTCGGCAGATAGACGGTAAAAAAAAGCACAAAGGAAATCTGGACTAAGGGGTGGAATGTCATTGCGAAGAAAGGGCTGCTACCATGAAATCAATGGTGCGACTTAGTTCTAACCACCACAAACTTGTGGTATTTGATCTAGGTACGATTCTGAATAAAGCTAGCAACGCCTATTGTGAAAATAAAGTTTCCCTGGCTGAAACCATTCTGAACTCCTAAAATTTTTGCTTAGACATGACTCTATGGCCATTTCGACTGGACAAGCATATGAGGGGTCCATTTAGTCACAATACCTCAAGTAAAGAGTCGGTATATGTATACTTCCTTCAGACATCTTAAAAATTAAAAGTTGACCATAATTTCCTACTCTTCTTTTCTGACCATCAATTGCAGTGTAATTGATTCATGCGGGCAAGAAGTATGTCTCATGGAAGATTCTCTACGTTGCCTGGAGTACCTGAAAATACAAGGGTATCAAATAGGAGTTGCCTCCCGTATCAAAGACATCAGCGGTGCCTATCAACTCATCAATCTTTTAGGTATTGCACCCTTTTTCGATTATAGAGAAATATACCCAGGCTGCAAGAAGCGCCACTTCCACAAGTAAGTGCTTATAAATGATACTGGCTTTTGATGTGGAAAAATGATGACTCTGTGAATCTTAACAGCTCCAAAACTAAATCCTCACATTCTTGCATGCAGCATACATCATAAATCAAATCTCGATTTTGGAGAAATGATTTTTTTTGACGATGACTTGAGAAATATTAGAGATGTTTCAAGTCTTGGGGTCACAGCAATCCATGTTCCAGAAGGCATAACAAAATCCATTGTGAGCAGTATTTGCTGAATATAAGATCAATGTCTAGCCATGAATCTTGATGCAACAGTTTTGTTTCTCAAGAAAATAAAAACTGAACACATAACACCTAAGATATTTTACAAGTGTTTATTCAGTATCCCAACAAATTGAAAGCATCATTTCTGTACAAACATTCTAAACTCTAAAATAATGTACAAGTGCAATGTGCAAGTTAACATTTCGCTGACTGCATATATGAATCATATAGATATTATTATACTATTTCTTCTCAGCAGCAGGGGCAGCTTCTTCAATGACAGTTGTATCTCGGAAGTTCGGGAACTGTTCCCAAGGGCTGTTCAATTCAAAGCGACGGAATTCTTGAGCCAACTCTAGTGGTTCCACAACTACTCTCTTCTTAGTGTCATCATATCGTAACTGAAAGGGAAATGAACATTTTCACAAAAATACTAGCAAGAAGTTTATCCCATAAGTGATAGTGATGCTGTCCTAAAATTTCACTAACCTCAACAAAGCCACTAAGAGGGAAGTCCTTGCGGAAGGGGTGGCCTTCAAATCCATAGTCCGTCAAAATACGTCGGAGGTCAGGGTGATCAGCAAAGAAGACACCAAACATATCCCAAATTTCTCTTTCGTACCAGTTAGCTGCCTTATGAACATCATTGACAGAGTCTAAGGGTGTCAACTCATCAGTATAGGTCTTGACTCTGATGCGAGTATTGTACCTCACCGAGAGCAGATTGTAAACAACCTGCAAAACAAAATTATCCACTTACACACCTATACAAGATATGGAATATTAAAAATATGGTCCAAGCTAGCTAATGTCTACCTCAAAGCGGTACATTCGAGATGGCACATCAACTCCACCAATATCAGACAAGTTTGTGAACTGGGCATTGTGGTGATCCTTCAAAAAGGATATGACAGGGACAATTCCTTCAGGCGCAACCAGCAATTCCAGTTCGTCAGTGCCAGTTAATTGAACTTTTTGAATAAACTTGGGCAAGCACTCGGCAACATATCGACCAAAGTCAGTCACATGAGCTCGAGCGACAAGATCAGGTTTGCGCACAGTTGCTGAAAAGGATTAAAACTTTAACATTAAGAGCATCAAGTCAATTTAACTACAATACAACATGCTGTTACTCACGTCTGGACTCTGGCTCTGTTTGTGTTTCACTTGAGAGATGCCTCGACAGGACCGTAGGTGCAGCGTTAACTCCTACACAAACAGAACATGAAATTAAAAGGAAAAAAGAACAGTAGGTGTTATTACCAAGACATGGAAGACTGAAACAAGTGTTTGTAATAGGTTTGTAACTCGCCAGATATGATACTGCACATGAAAATAAAAAAAAACAAAGACGTAGAAACACTATGAAGATAAATGGTAGAGGTGAAAATACGGCAAAGGATGATTCGAACTCAGTGACCGTAATGTCCACCAAGTTTTGGAGGTTAGGTTCCAGAACACAGGTGGTGCTCCACTAACTGGCAGCTTGTATGACACTTTCTACAAACTGAAATTATTTGCAGACAGCGGAATGTAGTGTGGACCTAAAATACTTACTGCGAGACCCAGCTAATCCAACATTTTTAAAAGTGCCAGACAATTTTCTTAAAATGTTGGACGCCATCTTTGACAGTACTGTCTTGCCTCAACTCGAATCTGAATCCGACGCTGGTTTCTGAGCGCTGCGCTCGACTGTTTGATCGACATTGACATTCCTGAGCGGCACAAACAAACCGATTCTGTCAACCTAGTGTCAACACACAAACAATGAATGAGTGAACGTTTTACTCTTGTTTTGTGCACAAATTCTGATAGCCTGCCACTTGAAGTATGTTTGACCTTTCTTCCTCTGCGTTTCATGCACGCTCTTAACAAAATACTATGTCAAGTGAAAAGGTCAGTACTTCTTTTAACCTATAATGACAACCCATTATGAATATTGTTTTATACTTTTGTTAAATTAAATGTGTGAACTGTCACAGCAAATATTTGCGTTAACGCAACCCCATGGCTCTGGTGAGCTTTTATTTTCCTGGCAACCTGGGAGTGGCATTTACTTGGCAACAGCAGGCAGCGATCAGTCAGTTGCCATTCACAATCGAAATGGAAAATTGGTTGAAAGAATACGTCTCCGTGGGTTGGTATCTATATTTTCTATTTTATTCTTTTTTGCAATTAATCTTTAGCTTTTACAATATTTTGAATGATCTGTGTCCTATTTATTATCATTTGTTTTTAGGATCTGTTGTGGGCTTGGTTGGGACTCTGATGGGGATCTCCTCGCCATGATTTCAACTGAGGCTCCTCTCATTGTTCTGTGGGATGCCAACACAGGACGTAAACACCAAGTCGACAGTGGGCTTCGAGACACGTTGAGTTGTCTTTTATGGTCTAAGACTAATCCTATTCTTGCCATTGGTTCTACCAAAGGAAATTTGACCATTTACAATCACTCATCTGTCAAGTAAGTGTTCTTATCTGCCTGTATTAATAATTTCCTTGGTCTTTTTTAAAGATGGCTTCCCTATTTCTGCTCTAAATTGTATAATTTTAGGAGAATACCAATTCTTGGCAAGCACAGCAAACGCATAGTGTGTGGAGGTTGGAGTCGGGAAGGCCTGCTTGCTCTTGGTTCTGAGGATAAATCCCTCTCTATCAACAATGCTGAGGGAGATACTTTGAGAATAATTAATTTGAGAGCAGAGCCATCTCATGTTCAATTTTCTGAGATGAAATTAGATGAACGTCTTGGAGGAGAAAATACAGTAAGCTTGAATAAGAATTCATCAAATGAAATACACAACCTAGGCAAAAGAAAGGGTGAAGAATTATTTTTTTTCCAGGTTAGTGTGATTGTTGGTCACAAAACTTTGTTCCTCTACAACCTACATGACCCAGACAATCCAGTTGAACTAGCCTTTCAAAATCGATATGGGTCGCTCATTACATATCGATGGTATGTTAAGTCTCATTTAAGAGTGGTGTATGTATTCTAGTAGATTGTCACTGGATGCTGTAACAATGTAATTTTGTATTTTTTCTAATGCTCAAAGGTTTGGAGATGGCTACATTTTATTGGGTTTTAGTGCTGGTTACCTTGTCGCAATATCAACACATATAAGAGAGGTGGGGCAGGAGTTATTCCAGGCCAAAAACCACAGAGATGGTTTAACGGACATAGCACTGTCCTCATCTCTTGGCCAAGTAGCATCTTGTGGGGACAATGCGTGAGTAAAGACTATTTTTTTCAAATCTTAGCAGGCTGCAATGTTCTGAGTGCCTATCTCTTCATTTCAGAGTAAAAGTTCATGATATGAGTAATTTGCAAGACACAGTAACTGTACATACACTTGATGGTGAAGGTAATGTGGAGCGAGTTGCTTGGAGTGAAGATGGACAACTACTTGCTGTCTCAACAAGAAGTGGAAACCTTTCGGTTTTCCTCTCATGCCTTCCAATGCTTGCCTCTGTATGTGGTACGAAAATTGCTGTTCTCTCTAGTCTGAACGAAGTCACTCTTCACTCTTACAACTTTGAAAAGGTACTGTTTTTAAACCATTGTTCTTGGTTAGAATGCAGTGTTTTGCTGTTCACATACTACCTGCAACTTTGTAAATATGCTGTTTGTATTTCAGGGGAAATCTAGTTCAATGGTAGTTCCGACTGCCATTGAGCCAAGCTTTGTGGCTCTTGGACCATTCCATCTTTGTGTGGGAATGAACAACAGAGTATGGTTTTATGATTTGACGTTGCTGGCTCAAGAAGCTGGCACAGCTCCTCGCCTATTCAAGTAATGAAAATTAAATTACTGTATTTATTATTTTGTCGTTTGCAGTGGTAATGTTCAATGATGTTTCTTTCCGCAGAGACAAAGAATATCTGGGCACAATTAATAGCATGAAATTGAATGCTGATTATGCCTCAATTTTGCATGAAGGAAAAATTCAACTTCATATGGTAGATATACTTATCATTTGGTCGATTTTATCAAAAAATCGAATTATGAGTATCAAACAACAAACTAATGCCTTCTTTTGTGTGTGTGCGTGTTTCTTTTAAGCTGGAATCATCAGAACATGGAAATGAAAATTGCGAAACAAAGCTCTTTCCTGACTCACCATCCCTGGATCACAATATAACATGTCACTTTCTTACGAGTGACTTTTTAATTTATGCCACTGACATGGGAGAGTTATTTTTCTTTTTCATAGAAGACTGGAAAACTGTTGTTGAATTTCGACATTCTGTTGGTATTCGTTCAATCTTTCCAGACCTCAGTGGCACCAAAGTAATTTTGTGTGATGCAAAGAGTGAAGGTTATCTGTTCAACCCTGTAAGATATCTTTTAACAAAAATTTTGAAATGAATGACATTTTAATTTTAATTATTTTTAAAAATCTTTTTTATGTCTTTCAGGTCAGTAATGATCTCATTAAGGTACCAGATTTTCCTCAGAGTTGTCTAGGTGTTCTTTGGGATATATGGCCTGCTGACAAAAATGTCTTTGTAGCTTATGATGACAAGTGTCTTGTTACTTATGTTTACATACCGGAGTCTGTTCATGGTAAGAGCAATCACATTCCCCTATTTTGCCTCAAAAATTTCGTGGTGTTGATTTTTGATATGCCAATACAATGCTTTGTAGGAACTGTTATTGAACGAGTTGGTGTGACAAGACTCCCAGCCAACCAAGTTCCTTTACTGCTAAACTCAGGAGTATTAGCAGTACAAACTGTTGGTGGAAAACTTATTCAAATGATATTAAGCACACATACCTTTCAAGAAGGAGGATCAAATGTGAATACTGGTATGCAACCTGCAGATATTGAAGTCTTACTGAAGAAGCATTTGATGTTGCGGAGGTATAAATAATAATTTTAAACTTTTTAGATGTTTCTCTTTATTCATTTTATGTACATTCTAAACATTTTTTTACTCAGGTTTAAGGAAGCTTGGAAATGGTGCCAGCTATTAAATAAAAAGGAAAACTGGATCATGTTGGGTGAAGCTGCACTGAAGAGCCTTGATATTGATACAGGTAGAACATAAGACTAACATTAACTACATCCACAACATACGTTCCATGTCTTAAAATCTCACCTCCACCCTCTTTCTTATGTTATCAGCTCTTCAAGTTTACCGTCACATTAAAAATGTTGCCATGGTGTGGGCTCTTGAAGAGATCCGTAACATTGAAGAGCGCAAACTCCTTGCAGGTCACATAGCCTTGTATTTATCACTTTTTGATCTGGCTCAGGTATGTTGTAGCATTGAACAAATTCCTCTGTCTCCTCACCCCCTGACCATTATAGCTCTACTTTTGTTTCCTTTCCAGGAGTGGTACTTAGCATCAACTGACCCAGGGGCTGCACTGGCAATGCGTAGAGATCTTTTACAATGGGAACAGGCATTACAACTTGCAAGAAATCTTGCTCCACATCAGGTGCCTCTCATTTCAAAAGAGTATGCACAGCAGCTCGAATTTACGTGCGTGTTCCAATAATAATAATCCTTCACCAACTTTTATCTTTTTGTTAGTTTGTATATATTTTATTCTTTTAATATTGCTTTGCAGAGGTCATTATGTAGAAGCACTTAGCCATTATGAAAAAGGATTTCTTAATGCACAGTCATATGATACTGCAGCAAATGCCAGTACCCAAGGTTCACAATTAAATGAAGAAGCTATTCATGCACATAATGCTGAGTGCCGAGCTGGGGTGACTCGCACATCTATACGGTGTGGTGACATACGCAGAGGTGTGGCTATGGCATTGGATGTTCAAAGCAGCAAACAGTTACAAAAAGAATGTGCTGAAATACTTGAGAGCCAAAAGCAGCTGAATGATGCTGTTAACTTGTTTGAGAAAGCTGAGCTATATGAGAGAGCTGCTTCATGTTACATTCAGCTTAAGAATTGGTCAAAAGTTGGGCAGCTTCTACCTAAAATATCATCTGCCCGAATTCATCTGCAGTTTGCCAAAGCAAAAGAAGCTGATCGACAATACTATGAAGCAAGTAAAGCTTATGAAGCTGCTCGTGAATGGGACAGTGTCATACGAATAAATCTAGATCATCTGAACAACCCTGAGAAGGCTGTGAGGATAGTTCAAGAGACTAAGAGTATGGAAGGTGCGAAAATGGTGGCTAAGTTTTTCCAGAAACTTAACGACTATGAGTCTGCGATCCGATTTCTTGTTCTCTCTCATTGTCATGATGAGGCTTTCCAGCTGGCAAGACGGCACAACCAGCTTGAATTGTATGGAGACATTCTGCTTGAGATGAGAAGAGACGTGAGTTCAGGGGCTGAGGCTCGCCCTGATGACTACCGTAGTCTTGCTTTACATTTTGAAAATGAACGAAATTACTTTCTTGCTGGAAAGTTTTATTATCATGCCTCTGACTTTTCTAAAGCTTTAAAGCTTTTACTGAAAGTAGCCCAAGCAAATCAGGAAGATCAAGAAGCAATACCATTGGCTATTGAAGCTGTTGGAGCAGCAAAAGATGAGCGGCTGGCAACGCAGCTGATAGAGTTTCTACTTGGTGAAACAGATGGTGTAGCCAGGGATGCAAAATACTTATTTCAGCTGTATATGGCTCGCCAGCAGTTCCGGGAAGCTGCTAAAACAGCTCTTATTATTGCTAACGATGAGCAGGTATTTAGAAATGAAGTGTCCCTTTACTCCTATTTGAATGTCTTCTTAAGCATGAAATAATATGGGACAATTGAATTTCAGGTCAATGGCAACTACAGGAATGCTCATGATGTACTTCTTATGATGTATCAAGAGCTTCGACAGAGATCAATGCATATTCCTGCAGAAATGGTCAATAATTTAATGCTTCTTCACTCTTACATACTTGTTCGCTTACATGTTCGCCGTGGTGACCACCTGAAAGGCTCAAGAATGCTTGTAAGAGTGGCAAGCAACATCTCCAGATTTCCATCCCGTGAGATACTCTTTTATTCTTCTTCACCATCTTTATTATTCTTGACACATTTAACAGTTTTTTTTGTTTCAACCCCAGATATAGTTCCTATATTTACATCAGCAGTCATTGAGTGCCATCGTGCCGGACTAAAAAGCTTTGCTTTTACCTATGCTGCTATGTTAATGCGACCAGAATACAGATCTCAGGTACAGACTTCAATGTCTACGTAATCTGCTTTGCTAATAACTATGTTTAAAAAAATGTGTTATAAGAATTTTCCTTCCATTCTGTCTGAATGAAAAAAGGTTGATCCAAAATACCAAAAGAAAATTGAGGCTGTTGTCAGGAAACCTCCAAAACGAAACAAATTGGGTGAAATAGAAGAAATAGAAGAACCAGCTACTCCTTGTCCATTCTGCAATACTCCATTAGCAGAGACTGAGTTAAATTGTTCCCATTGCAAAAACACCATTCCGTTCTGTATTGCTACAGTGAGTTATTTCTTTGATTCAACCAATCATTTAATTAGATTTATTTGTTGCGATTCAATTTGAATTTTTCACTTTTTAGGGAAGACACATATTAAGAGATGATTTGACAGCGTGTCCAAGTTGTGACTTTCCCGCTATTCGGAGTGAACTGCATCAGTCAGTATCTCAGTTACTATGAAGATTCATAATAATTGGTAAAACAGAACCTGCAGTCAAAGTTTAAGTATATGTTGTTGTTTTTTAAATTCCAGGATCATTGAGGGTGGTGAGAATTGCCCTATGTGCTCAGAGAAGATAAATCTTGATACCTTAAGCTTGATCCGCGATCCTCAGCCGTATCTGTACCCAGAGGGAGGAGAAGCTATTCTAAGAGGACTTGAGAAGCTATCTACCTCAGGATAACCATAACCCAAGTAGTAGTTCAGAGAATGTGCACAATCCACCAAAAATTGTAGAGCCCCTGTTCCAAATTTAAAGGTGACTGCCTGTTTTCTTTTTTGTGTTTCTTTTAAAAATTAGTCTATGTGACCAAATTTTGATATGTGTGTTTGTTTGTCCCCTTTCATTAAATTGATTTTGAAACACCAGATGTGATGATTTTGGAGGTGCGGTTTATCATGAAAGGTTGTGATGTGTTGCTTTTTATGATCTCCGTTCATATATTTTATATGTTACTACTGTATATTTGTTAAACATTGTTTTATTCATCCGTCCATAGTTATCTTAATCTATATTTACTTGTTTATAAATATTTTCCATTTTGTTACAAATGTTGCTTGTTAGGAAAATGTACTTTTATGTTATGATTTGTCTATAATTTACTCACTTTTTCCTTTGTTTCATGTTACCATTGAAGCAAGTGTTATGTATTCACAATTTTCTTGTAAAATCGTGAGGCGTTAAATGAGAAAGTGCTCCACAGTCTCTCTAATAGCTCTTAATATACTGAGTTTTAGTTATTTCAAGCACTATCTGATGTATTGTATGCACTTTGCATGCCCTAGTTTGTTAGTTAAAGCACATTAATTTCTAGCTTAAATCAGGATGGAATAGATGGCTTATTGATTTGGTTGTTACTCAAAGTTGTAGGATTTGAGAAACGCATTGCCTTCTCATTGTGATAAAGGTTCTTAATTGAAACTGTGATCATTATTACTGCATGTGTGCAAACAACGCACTATGTTGCAAGTGGACACTGACTGTTCAATGCTACAATAAAGGAGAAAAGGAATGTAGTGAGAGTTATTTTTGTTCCCTTGGCCTCATTTCAGTTCCAGCAGTGCGCCAGCCGAGTCAAGCATGGGCATGGGCAATTGGTTTGCTTGCCTAACCTGGTCTTGACTTCATATCCAGTGCAGAAGTTCCGCTGGTCTTGGAGAGGGGTAAAGCACAAGGCACTGTAACCATACAATAAATTTAATGTGTAGCCATAACAACAAGGACCCTATTTAATGCACCATTCCAACAAATTGTTGTGTCCTAATTTTAATCTGTGCTGTTACATAAGCAGTAGACAAGAAAAATACTTATACTTATGGAATAACACGTTTGGTGTAGCTGGTAGAGGATTGGAATTTATCTCTGGCTAAACAAGGGAAAGACATTTCCATTTTGGAAGCACATTTCCAAACCCTAGATAGAATATCATGAAAATAGATTAAATTGACCTACATGTCATTAAAGATTGGAAGACAATGATACATGAGAGAGAGAGAACACTCACATACTAGATCAGTTTAATGCTCAAGCTAGTTCATTTGCACCTCTTTGTTGTAAGGTGGTATGTTCAATGAATCCTGCTTCTGTACCAAAAGTGAAATTTTTAAGCAAAGGCTGGCTAGCACATAGTTCCAGAGATTGAATTTTTTTCACATGGACGGTATTTATACATCATGCATTCACAACTGCAAGCCTTTGATACTTGCCTCATATCCGTTAATTATGTTCATGAAATATTATTATAATTCTTTGAAAATAATCTACAGGGCTTTTGATGGGAATGTATAACATAGAATAGTGATTCAGCCATAAAAATCAGTCTTTGCAGCTGGAATATGTATTGAAAAAAAAGCTACTATTTAGAAATACATAAGATGAAAGAAGCAAAAAAGTGTAAGGAAATGGGAACAAAAAAACAGGTTTAACTTTCTAAAAGGTGAAAAATCTGTAATTTACAAGTAACACTTCAAAACAAGAGTTTACATACAATGGTATGGCTATCTATATACACAGTTCAAAATATAAATCCTGAAAAGTTAAACATCCATTTTCTACTGAAGGAAAAATTTCAGACAAGAGATTACAAAATGCTTAAAAAGAGATCTGAGCATTTATTTGTCTGCTTAACCCTAAAGAAGGAAAATTGTGAGTGAATACTATAAGAGAAACACCAGCATAGAGCTGAAAAAGAAATTATGTGGGAAAAATATTTAGTTTTTCCTGTTTATCATTTAAGTTAAGAGTATTTGGTGGCGCTTTTTGCACATGGGCCAAACCAAAAGGAACACAGTATTCGCCTGCAAATACTGAATTAACTAATAAAGCTAACCATCTGGTAGGAAGCAATATTGTTACACTTCTGCTTTCAATCTTGGGGAAATACAAACACCAAGAAGGGGAAAAGTCTATTCATTAACTTGAACCAAGCTAAAATTAAGACACTTGCGCAACCCAAGCTATTTCCAGATAAAAATATGGTAGTTGTAAGAGGTTTGAATATGCCTCTAGTAACAATAACAATTGGGACAAATCAACAAATATCATTTCAGTGAAACATTTCCTTGACATCCCAGTTCATATGGAATTCACACTTTCCCTTAAAATTACTGGCAAGTTAAGCAAAATCACAGCTAAATAATGACACAACAATATTCAAACACCAGCATTCCTATCTAATGGTGACTTCGAATCTTCCATTTGCTTCAGTACAGTATTCTGGTCTATGAAACTATCAGTCAAATTTAAAAATTTGCAGATGTGAATGGAGTTTAACCATATAATTTAATAACAGAGATACAGAGTTTTTTGAAGTACTTTATTCTGGTAAGCAAAGATAGTGAAAGTTTTCAAGATTGATGACTAAGACAAGAGAAGCAATGGAAAATAAGAGACACAGAAGAGAAACCATACACACTTTGTCCTAATACCACTGGGAAATCTTAAAAGTAATGAAATCACAGCTGCTTATACATATCTAAATTAGTCAAGTCCACTGCTGAGAGAGTATTCTCTACAGAAACTTCTATCACAATTTTCTCCTAAATTTCTGTTTACTGATGTGGGGAAACAACACAAACACTGCTCCAATTAAACTGTAGAACAATTGGAACACATAGTCAAATTAATAAAAAGAAGGAAAGCAGAGTAAAAAGTGCTAACCAATGTTGACATTGCAAGTTTTTCAAGAGTAAAAAGGAATACTCAAGAGCTTGAAAAAACAAACAAAGAAATATGAAAGCCGGGGATTGGGACTGGGGATCTCAGCAGTGCTTGATGACTTACACCCTGACCATTTCACATCACAAAAATAAATATAAATTAAGTTAAAGTGGGTGGCTGCCCACACTGAGTGCTGGTAGGTATGTGAGCTGGCCTGCCAGTAACTCACACAACATACAGCTATCTGCCCTACCCTTCACATGGAGTTCTTTCAATTAATCATTTTCTAAGATTAATAAAAAACACCATCACGTCATGTTCACACCCAACGTTTCCCTGCATCTTTCATATGTAGCATAACTAATTGCAACAGCCGGGGCAACCTTCATGAAGTTTGGAGTGAGGCCACGGTATAGTCCTGAGACACCCTCATTTCTGAAGATTTCTCTGATGAGTGATGTCATGGTGCTGGGGTGTGCAGCAATGGTTCCACCCGGCTGGGCAGTGATTACTGAAAAAGAGTGAACAGAAACACCTGTTACTAAAGGTCTATAAACAACAATTCATTCTCGGAGGACACAAGCATGCATTAAAAAGTTAACAACCTTGTGCTTGTAAACGTGTGCGAACTAATGCTAGTGGATAGCTGCAAACTTGACCAGTAGTACTTGAAATTGTTCCACAAGCCAGAAGGAGAAAAACAGAGGGTGACTCGTTGGATGAATGTTTTCGGAGATAAGAATTTTTCAGTGTCTGTAGTAACAAAACAAAAAGTACATAAACATAGAGTAAAGGAAAAAATAAATTATTTAAAACAGATAAAGTAAAAAAAATTTCCAACACGACACTCACTTCATACACAGCCAGATCAATACCAGCATAAGGAATAATACCCAGCAAATTCGGAACATAGCCTCTGTAGAAGCTTTTAGGGCCTTCGTGTAAATATATTTTCCTAGCTGCATCTACTATGCTCTTGTACTGTCCTGTTTTGCGCAATGCAAGCCTAGTTTTCATCACCTAGAGTGGAAAAAAATGGAGTTAAAATGGGCATTTACTCTTTTAAAAGATGAGTGAACTTGTCAGACCATAAAACTTACCTCTAGAGGATATATGATAGTTTGACTAACACCACCAGCAAGAGAACCAGCACAAAAACGCTCATAAATTGTGAGCTCTCTTGCCTGAGTTCCACGAATAACACATTTAGCTTGCTCGTATGCCATGAATTTAATAGCAGATTCTGGAGCGATTTTGAGTACATTAATGCCATTTCCCCTCCAAAGACTCCAGAATCCACCTTCATGCAACATGCTTTGAAGACATGTTTTAATACTGGTTGACTTGGTTCCATGGACCTGTGAAACAGAATTCGATTTTCAATTTCCCGTTTTATGTCAAAATGCAGCGCGAAGTGACTGGTGCGCTGCGTCTCCTTGGTCTCTCACCTGCAGGTACACTTTGAGTCTGTCGAGCGGCGCCGTGCAAGTTCGGGACACCGCGCCAGCAACGCCTCCAGCCACCAGGTGGCGCCACCACATACCCGTCACCATTTCGTTCTGGGTGAAGTCATCGGGGACGTTCATGTCTTCCCCGATGTCCAGGTACTGCAACACAAGAAAACAAGACGGGCCAAATTTAGTAACAAGAACTACAGTGCTGTTTTGAAAAAGGTACTTCCCCCAGCCATGAGGGTACGCCCAATACCGGCCCTCTCGTGGTCCCGGACTGGACTTCCCCCGCATGGGGCGTACCGTATAGGTGCGAGAGGGACAGAACGACGAAAACGACTCTCATCAGTCTGATGCCCGGGTTGCGAATCACAAGTTCGAACCCTTCCCCTTCCCCTTCCCCCTGCTCCGCCCATCGACTGCATTTCTGCAAACCAGGCGGAAGGTCGCAACCAAATCAGCTGTGGCGCCGTCCCCCGTTGCCGCCCTCTTCCCCCTCCCCCCGCCGGGCTGCCCGGCCGCCGCGCTGCAGCACCACATGCAGTGCCGTGCCGTGTCCCGGTCGATAGCCCAGCTGTTCTCCCGCGCCGCGGCCAGCCGCGACCTTCCCTCCTACTCCCTGCCGCACCGCACCGCATCGCCGGGCGGGACGGCGACGGCCCGACGGCCGACGCGGATAACCTCCAACGACGCCGAGCAGAAATACGCCCAGCCGCCCTGCCTTGGCCGTGTCGCTGCCGTCCCTCTCACACCTCACGGAGAGCGACAGAGGCGGCAACGACCGTTCTGAACCACTCCGCAACGCCCAGCCGCCCAGCCCGGAGGGAGGACAGCGACGGCAGCTCGAGTCAATCCGTTCGCCTTGCCCCGCCGCACCGCGACGACCGCGACGCGGATCCAGCTCCCAGCAGGGAAGTCTCTTTCCTGCACTTGCGGGTGCGGAAGGGACAGGCCCCTCCAGGACACCGACGGTGCCGTCAACGCCGCACTGGTCCTCACCTTCTCGTGCCGCCACAAGGGGTCGGCGTCGCCGTCCTGGGCGGGGCGCGTGCTCTGCGACGCCATGCCGGCCTGCCACTGCGCTACCGCACGCTACTGCACCACTGTAGGGAGTCGATGCACCTGCAGCCCGCACCGCACCGCACCGCGGCGGCGTCGTCCGCGGACCGTCCGTGCTGCCACCCCGCGCACCGCGACCACACTGCCCTGCCCTCCTGGCCAGGCACCCCCGGCCTGCCTGCTGCAGCGGCGGCGGCAACGCAACCCCGGCGGGCATGCCCAGACCTGCACCGCTGCAGCCGCGACGTCGCGACGCGAAAAGAGAGAGGGGGGAGGGGAGGGGGCGGCAGCCGACGCGCCGTACAGTAAAGTTAGTACAGGAAGGGGGAGGGGGGAGGGGCACGCGGCACGAGGGGCGCCGTCGTCGCGACCCGTGCGTTCACTAAACCCGGTGCACTCTACACCGCCAGAAAAGAGGGACCGCGTCGCGCGATCTTTGAATGGCCGAGAGATGCGCCGCCAAGGGGAATGAATGAAAGCTGAGGATGATTGCATCATAGAGGCGGGGAGGGAAGGCCACCCCCGCCGCCCCTTTCCATTTGCAAGGTGTAAAGGGGCGGCCGGGCGAGCGAGCGCATGCGCGGCAGCCGCGTCGGCCACGTGGGGAGGCTGCCACCACACTGCCACAGCGGCACAGCACAGCTGACCGAGGGCCGAGGGTAACCGAGGGGGCGTGGGTGGTGTTGGGGCGCAAGCGGCGGCTGCCCTAAGGTCAGAGAGGCGAGGGCAACATGAACTCGGCGAGCAAAGAGCGAACCGCCGCGCCAAACCCTGCCACCGGAATCCACCTGCAGCCAGACCGACAAGACTGTGCACTCGTCCGGCGAACGACGGAGCATTCATCGTAAGGGCGGGAGCTGGCGCTCTCCCTCTCGAGGTCCACCGCGGCACTCCACGGCAACATAACCTCTCTGTTCGCACCTCGGAGGGAAAGAGACTGCAGTCCGATCCACATCGGGCAGGGGTCGCGAGGGCCACCCATGTCGCCATAACAAATTCCCACACGTCCAAGGAGGGGCACAACTGAGCCGGCACCACCAGGCACAGCGACCGGGGCACCTTGAAGGTGCCGTTACCACCGCCAACCGGCTCCCGAAAAGTCGTCTGCTAGGTGGCAACAGCAGGCAACAGCCCGTTGTGTGCCCCGATAAATGGACGGCTGACGTCCTTCATGTAATCAAATTTACAAGTGCCGAGCTGCTTGGCATCAGGTGTTCAACTCAAAAGAGCAAGTCAGCCGCAGGTGCAGCAGAGCAGTGCAACAAGCAGCTGCAGGGAACAGCCACAGCCCATCCCACCTAACCTCACTTCCTCATGTGTCGGGCCGCCGCCGGGGCGGGCCCCGGGGCCTCTGCGATTGGGGCTCCGCGGGGCGGCCAACATCCCACTCAAAGAAGGGCCAAGAAGTCGCGGACAGCCGCCGGCCGCCGGAACCGTCACTTTCCTCCAAACGGACACGGCCTCCTTCTGCTGGAACCCCACCAGTCCACCCAGAGTTGTGGTCTTGTCACCAACACCGTACCTGGTAGATCTTGATGACATGATGCAAGTAATAATCCATATCGAGTATATCCATTGTCACACACACCCGCGAACGCGGTGCGGCACTACTTGAGACGTCGTAAATCGCAGACGAACCGTTCGTCGCGTTGCCGCGCGCGCTGCCGCCGACAAGTCTCCCCCCTGCCCAACGCAGCGCAGCCGACAGACGGGAGCAGACTGAGTTGAGTCACACGCCAAGCCAGCCAGCCAAACCGCCAAGCCCAGCCAGCCGTCAGCAGCCGCCAGGTCCGCAGCAAGTCGGGCAGGGAGAGGGCGGGCTGGGGCCGCTGGGGCCGCTGGGGCCGCTGGGGCTAGCCGCAGCTGGTGCGATCTGGCAGCTGGCCACCTCCACCACCTCCACGTTCTCGCCGGCGGAATCCCGAGGATGCCGATGACGATGACGGCGGCACTCTCCAGCCTTCACCTTGCCATCGCGTGGACACGCTTGTCTCCACCTCGCCACCGGCTGGAGAACATCAGCCGCTCCTTCTCCAACGGTGGACACACAGACATTTCGTTCGCAAAGCAAACTGCTCTGTGCTACCAATGAAAAATGCCAGTGTCGTGGCAAATGGCAGAGGCTGAGGCATAGAAAGTGAAACCCACACAAAAGTGGTACGGCCTTGCGCGCGCCGCTCCGCGCCGCTCTTGGCGGTGCTTGGCGCTTCGCTTCGCGCACGCCGCGCACCACTTTCACCAGGATTACGGTGCACGGCGCGCGGCCGGCAGGTCGTCAGGTGGACGAACGCCGCGGGGGTGGGGGCACTTGGGGCGCTCGGCTGCACTTGGGGCACTCCGCGCTGCCCACCGCCACTAGCCGCCCCGAACGGAACGGAACGGAACGCAGTGAGGGGCGGAAGCCAAGAATGACCGCCGCAAATCGACCGCCGCGCAGCCCTTCATTGTGGCCGGCGGCGTCCACACGTTGGCACCACGACGCGCCGCGACGCCGAGGCAGCGGGCGGTCGCGGCCGCGGCCCGGGCTGCTGGCGGGATGGGATGGGATGGTCGACGGCCAAGTCAGTCGCGGATAGATACGGCGCCACGCGACGTTGCCAGCGCCAGCCCGCCAGCCCCGCGGCCAGCCGAAGCCGGCACGGCCGGCACGCTAAACCTCAGAAGCCCCGCCCGGCCGCCGTCCACCACAAAGCGCGGCGTGCTGTACAGGTGGGCACGTGCACCGAGGCAACCCCGCGCGCCGACCAGCGCCGCCCAGCTCCGCCAGGGCGTCAAGGTTCGGGGACAACCGCACCAAAGCCGCTTCGGATCCGAAAGCCCCCGCCGCCAGTCCCACGCCCACCCACGGTGCATTGAGCCTATCGCGTCCTTTCCAACGAGCGCACGGCATGCGTCACTGGAGCGGTGCCCGGACTTCCCCGCGCCCGGGCTGTCCCGGCCCAGGGTCCCGACGCCGTGACCCCGTTCGACGACCCCCTCTTTCCTTCCGGGGCCGCCTGCCGCCTCCAGCAGCCCACTCCGCCGTCACCGCGCCAGGTTGCGCAAGACCCACACGCCTTGCGCCGACTCGCGCCTCGCGAGGCCCCACGGCACCGGGCCGCTCAGCTGACCAGGAGAAAGGACGGCATGGCTCGACGCGGGGCGGGGCGGGGTGCGGCCACGTGTTGGCCACGTGGCCACGACGCGTTGTCCAACAAGCGAAGTGGGTCGCGGCGGCTGGCCGGGCTGGCCGCGGCCAGACAGGATCAACGCCAAGGCCAAGGGCCCCGCCTCTGGCCCCGCCTTGCGCCTTGCGACCAGGGTCCAGGACCGACAGACCGGACGCGCTCGCGGACTGCAGTCTGCACAACTGGTGCAGCACGTGGCGGGGCGGGGCGGGGCGGGGCGGGGCGGGGCGGGGCGGGGCCGCGGGGATCGCGAAGGCTGATCCGCGTTGGGTAACAGGCGAGGTACGCCTTTGGCGCGCTTTGGCGCCAGCCGCCGCGGCGCAGTGTTCCAACAGCCCATTGCGGGCGATTGCCCAGGACCGCCAGGACCCAGGGGGTTGCTTGGAAGCGGAATTGTAGGAAGCTCCGCACCTGATCCCGGCGCTATCCTTATCGGCGCGTGATTTGCGGGACGGTGACGTCACAGCATCGGACACCGTCGTCCTCGTCGTCACCGCCGCCGTCGGGGTGGCCGTGGCGGTGGCGCCGCCGCGACCGAGCAATGCCAAGGGCTGACCTCCCTCCTCCCTCCCCCACCCGCTCCCTCTCGCGGCCACGTCGCGACGCCGCGGCGTTACTTGCCCACGGCGCGCCAAAACACGTTACTACCGCCGCTTATGGCTTGGCTTGGCGCGGCCGCCGTCGGCCCCCACGACGGGGGCCAGAGGTTATCGCCGTTGTGTCACCGCGCTGCGGGGCTCGCTGTGCACCGAGCAAAGACCTCCTGTAGCCATGGTAACGGGCGACGGCGGGCCGAATCGGAACCAGGGCGACCAGGGCGGTCGCGGCCTGGATCAAACAACAAGTGTGGCGCGACCCCATCTCTGATGCCATCATGGATGCCATCTTGGCCTCGCTCGGCGCGTGGGACCGATTCCGTGTCGCCCTGTC